AACTCGAGCACGGTCCTCGCGTCCATCGCCGCGCGCGTCGGCAAGTAGCAGCCGGACCCCCGCCGCCGTCGACGACCGGCGGCGGCGCCCCCGCCTCCCCCGAAAACAACCACCACCTATGACCTAAGCACAGTTCGCGCCGGATGTTACTTGCTTGCTTGGTGGGGCGCGCCTCCTAGGGCCCGGGCGGCGCGACGTCCGGGTAGAGCATCGCGTCCTTCGCCGCGGCCTGGGCGAGGGCCTGGACGTCGGCGAGGCGCGCGGACCGCGCGACGGCGCGCAGGTCGCCGAGGGCGGCCCGCTTGGCCGCGTCGGCGTCGCCGAGGCCCGCCGCGAGCTTGGCGCGCGTCGCTTTCACGTCGACGAGCGGCGCGACGGTCGCGGCGAGCGCGTCGTCGCCGTGGACGACGGCGACGGCCGCGAAGCGCTCCACGGGCGCCCAGCCGCCGGCGGCGTCGAGGACGGCGTCGAGGCGCGGCCAGTGCAGGAGCCGGTGGAGGAAGCGGTGCGCGCACGCGCCGCGGAGCCGGAGCTCCAAGTCCGCGACCTTGTCCGCCGTCGCGCGCCGCGGCGGCTCCGCGCGGCCCGCGCCCGCGAGGCTCCGCGCCTTGGCCCGCGCGAGGTCGCCGAGGGACGCCGTGACCTGGGCCGCGAGCGCGCCGTCGCGGTGGATCGCGTCGCCCTCGGGGTCGACCTGGGCGGCAAAAGGGTGATTCAACGTCGCTTCAACGTGAGTGTTCCGCGCGCGCGCGTTCCGAATAAAACATCCATGCTTCGAGACCGTTCCGAGAGATGATCGCTCGTCCAAAAGTCAGCCGAAACGAGTGGAAAACGGCCGAGATATGAGCCTTTGAAGTTGGGAATTTCGCTCTCTTTTGCTGCCCTCGGGGTCCACGGTCTCCAGGCGGACGACGCGGTGCGCGCCGCTCCGCGCCCACGCGTAGGCCTCGTCCGGGTCGTCGCACTTCGTGCCCGGGAAGGGCGGCGGGTTGAGGAGCCGCCGCAGGTGGAAGCGCACGGCCGACGACGCGAGCTCGCCCACGCGGCCGCGGACCCACGACTCGGCCGCGGCGAGCTCCGACGCCGACGCCGACGCCCGGGGCGCCAGCGCCTCGAGCTCGCGCGCCCAGAGCCGCGCGGCGCCGCGGACCTCGGACGGCTCGAGGCCCGCCGCCGCGATGCGGCGCCAGTCCGCGCCCGCGTCGGCCGCGTCGCCGACCGCGCGGAGCGCCGCGGCGAGCGACGACGCCGCCTCGGCGACCGCGCCGTCGGCGCGCGCCGCGGGCCGCAGCGCGTCGCCCGCGGCGACGACGCGGCTCAGGCGCTCGCAGAGCAGCTCCGTCTCCCGCTGGCTGTCGGCCCGCGTGTCGCTCGGCGGCGCCGTCGCCGAGAAGTCGAAGCGGCGGAAGCGGACCCGCGCGCGGTCGCCGCCGGCGTCGTTGGCGCGCGCGACGTCGTTGGCCTGGGCCTCGGCGTCGGCGGCGGCGCGGAGCCAGGGCAGGAGCGCGTCGTGGGGGGCGCGCGGCGCGCCGACGCCGACGCGCGCGAGGCCCGCGGCCAGCGCGACGGCGCACGCGGACGCCGCGCGCGGTCCGTCGCCGTCGGCGACGGCCGCGAGCGCCGCGCGGCAGTCCGCGGGGTCGCCGACGGCGCGGACGACGAAGGGTTCGGCGACGGCCGCCTCCGGCTCGGGCTCGGCGGCCTCCGCCTCCGGCTCGGCGACGGCCGCCTCCTTCTCCGGCTCGGGCTCGGCGGCCTCCACCGGCTCCACCGCCTCCGGCTCGGCGGCGGCGGGCTCCGGCGGCGCGGACGCGTTGGACCCGCGGCCCGCGCCCGGGCTCCAGGAGAGGACGCAGCCGAAGTCGTCGTCGTCGTAGAAGGAGTGCGCGCTGCTCCGCTTCGACGCCGGCGGCGTCCGCGCGCGGCTGCCCTTGGGCTTGGTCCAGGGCGACGCCGCCGCGGGCGTCGCCGCGAAGGCCTCGGGCGTCGGCGCGGGCGCGCGGATCGGCGCCGCGCGCCGCGGCGTCGGCGCGACGGGCGGCGGCGACGGCGGCGGCGCCTCGTCGGCGCTCGAGTCCTCGCCGTAGGCGATGGAGAGCCGCGCGCTCCGCCGCCGCTTCGCCTTGGCCTTGGCCTTGGCGCCGCCGATGGGCGCGAAGGCCGCGGGCGCGGGCGGCGGGCCGTCGGCGGCGGACCGCGCGGGCGACCGCTTCGGGGGCACGTAGACGACGTCGGCCTCGAAGCTCGAGGGCAGGAGCGTGCCCTCGAGCGCGGCCGACACGGGGTTCGACCGCCCGCTCAGAGGCGTGCCCATCTCCACGGGCGACCCGTCCTTGACGGGCGTCGGCGCCACGGGCGCCGGGGACCGCGCGGGCGTCGGCGGCCGCGCGGGCGCCGCGGCCTTGCGCGCCTCGTCGAGCTCCGTCTCGAGGGCCTCGACGCGCGCCGCCGCGGTCGCGCGCGCCCCGTCGAGCTCCTCCTCGAGGGCCTCGACGCGCGCCGCCGCGGTCTTGCGCGCCTTGTCGAGCTCCTTCTCGAGGGCCTCGACGCGGGACGCCGCGGTCTTGCGCGCCTTGTCGAGCTCCTTCTCGAGGGCCTCGACGCGGGACGCCGCGGTCTTGCGCGCCTTGTCGAGCTCCTTCTCCAGCGACGTCGCGCGCGCGCGCGCCGTTTTGAGTTCCCGCTGCGCGCGCGCCGACGCGGCGGGCGCCGCCTTCGCCGTCGATCGCGCCTCGCAAAGCTCCTGCTCGAGGGCCTCGACGCGCGCCGCCGCGGTCGCGCGCGCCTCGTCGAGCTCCTGCTCGAGGGCCTCGATGCGGGCCGCCGCGGCCGCGCGCGCCTCGTCGAGCTCCTCCGCCGCCGCCGCGCGCGCCTCGTCGAGCTCCGCCGCCGCCGCCGCGCGCGCCTTGTCGAGATCCTTCTGCAGCGACGTCGCGCGCGCGCGCGCCGTCTTCAGGTCCCGCTGCACGCGCGTCGACGCGGCGGGCGCCGCCGCCGCCGCCGCGCGCGCCTCGTCGAGGTCCTTTTCGAGGGCCTCGACGCGCGCCGCCGCCGTCGCGCGCGCCTCGTCGAGCTCCGTCTCCAGCGACGTCGTGCGCGCGCGCGCAAGCTTCAGCTCCCGTTGAAGCATGGCGTTCTTCATCTCCGACGACGCGAGCTTGCCCTCGAGGTCCAGGGCCTTCGTCGCCTTTTGCGGTTGGCCATCGACGCGCGAGAGGGGGTTATCGGAGAGAGACGTTAAAGGGGGCCGGCGCGGGCCAAACGACTGCCGCCGGTTCGACATTTTTCCGGTTAGGGGTGCCAGCGAGGGTGTGTTACGGCCCCGCGACGGCGTATGGGTAGTTTAAACGCCTTGGCGACGTGCGCGCACCGGCGAAAGGGATCGACGTTAGGACCGGCTCCACCTTCGCGGCGCAAAAGCGAGCGGTCGCGATGGTCGTTTTTATCCCCGGCCAGATTCCAGGCCTAGGCGCCGCGCCGGGAGGCGATGCCCTCCACAACCGCCACGACCAACCCGCGCGTCTCCCAGCCCCGCAGACTTAAAACTCCAGACACTTACCGAAACGCCCGCCCTACAGGAACCGCGCCTGGGACCCCTGGAAGTAGGACGTGTTCGTGCAGTAGATGCCGTCGTCGTACTGCGCGAAGATGGCGAGGAACGTCTTGCCGACGCTCTGCTTCTTGAAGACCATCTGGTACTCGGCCTCGTCCGCCGGGTGCTTGGCGAGCGCGACGACGGTCGTCGCGTAGTCCTCCTTGCGCTCGACGACGACGAGGCACTTGCAGTCCGCGTTCGTCTTGATGGTCATGCGGCCGGGCCGGGGCTTGTCCCGGTGGAACTCGGGGAAGCGCGCGCGGGTCGTCGACTGGACGAGGCGCACGCCGAACTCGCACTTGGTCATCTCCTGCTGGTGGTCCGTCGGCGTTACCGTCGTAAACACCGACCCGACGTCGGACAGGAGCTGCTCGAAGAATTTCACGTCCGCGCCCGTGACGCCGTTGCTCGCCGCCGCCGTCGCGTCGTCGACGGGCTCGGGGATGGCGTCGGCGCACATGTGGTCGCAGAACTTGACCGGCGCGTCGGCGACGCCCGTGCAGAGGTTGTTGCCCATGGCTGCCCCGGTTCTGCGCGGGTCGCGGCCGACGGCGCTGCTTTCTTCTGGTCGGTGGGCCGAAGCCGGCGGTGGCGGCGCCGCGCGTCCGACGACGGGCGGCGAAACAGGCCGGCGATGCCGAGGCCGACGGCGGCGGAGAGCACCTCTGCGGCGCCTGTCGGATCCAGGTCATGCATTCTAATTGGATACCTCGCAACTTGCATCGTGCGTGAAGTGGTAAAAATATGGCTTGTGCCAACGAGAGCGCGTGCAGCAGCGTCATGGCCTCATAACTGATGGCACTGCGCCGCCTGCTCGCGCTGCTGCTGCTCGCGGCCCGGGCCGAGGACGTGCACGTCGTCGTCACGGGCTCGAGCTCGCACGCGCTGGGCGTCGTCGCCTGCGTCTCCTCGGTCTTCGCCCAGGCGGCGGACCCGCAGCGCGTCGTCGCGCACGTCGTCGTCGCCGCGGCCGACGCCGCCGTCTTCGACGCCGCCCTCGCCTGCGCCGTCGGCGGCGAGCGGCGCTGGCGCGTCGTGCCGTTCGACGAGACGTCGCCGCTCGGCGCGCGCGTCGCGAGCCGGATCAGCGTGCGCCACGCGAAGAAGCAGTACCTCGCGAGCATCTTCAACTACGCGCGCTTCTACCTCGGCGAGCTGCTGCCCGCGGCGGCGACCAAGGTCGTCTGGCTCGACAGCGACACCATCGCGCTCGCCGACGTCGCGGAGCTCGCGGACGCGGTCCTCAACGGCGCGGACGGCCCCGCCGTCGCCGCCGTGCCCCGCGAGCGGCCCGTCTGCGGCACGTTCCTCAACTGCAGCGACGCCGCCGCCATGGCGGCGCTCCGGGACCGCGGCGTCGACGCGGCCCGGCTTAACGCGTTCAACGCGGGCGTCGTCGTCTTCCACCTGCCCCGGTGGCGGCGCCAGAAACTCACGGCGGCCGTCGAGGGCTGGCTCGAGCTCAACCGCGTCACGCCCGTCTTCGCCCTCGGCACGAACCCGCCGCTCATGCTCGCGACGAACGGCGCCTTCGAGCGCGTCAGCGCGCGGTGGAACTGCCAGGTCGGCTCGGGCCACCCCTGCGCGCGCGGCCTGCAGGCCCACGGCCGGCGGCTCCGCGACGAGGCGCGGCGCGCGCGCGCGGCGGAGAAGAAGGCCTTCCGCCGCGACCGCGCGGCGAACGCGACCGCGCGCCTCGAGGCGCTGAGCAAGGCGTGGGAGGCGTCGGGCGAGACCGCGGGCGTGCTGCACTGGTCCGGCGAGCGCAAGCCCTGGTGGGCCGAGGGCCTCGCGAACGCGCCGCGCTTCGCGGACCTGTGGATGGCCGCGCTCGGCAAGGGCAAGGCCTGCGCTTTACGGGCGCTGCCCCCCGACCACACGCCGAATTCGACGGTGGTCATCCCGTCGTCGGCCCACTTCCCCGACGTCTTCGCGTTCCGAAACGGCGGGGCCCTCTTCGAGGACTTCGCGCGCGTCGCCGTCAACGTCGGGCGCGCCTACGCGGCCGCGGAGCGGCCCGCGGACGCGACGGACGCGCGGAAGCGGCTCCGGGCGCGCTTCCTCAACGGCGGCGGCCGGCCCTGCGGCGTCGTCGTCGTCGTGCTCCGGGGCAAGCTCTACGCGGACCCGCGGCGGCCCGCGGGCTGCCCGGCGCCGGTCGACGGCTTCTTCGACACCGCGGAGCGGCGCGCGCTGCAGACGCTGCACCGCGCGGTCCGTAGAGTTCGGTCCGTCGTCGACCGCGACCGGCCCGACCGCCTCCTCTCCTTCCGCGACGCGTTGGTCTTCGAGCTCGCGGGGCCGGGCGCGCCGGCGGCGGACCACCGCTTCTCCTACGCGGACGCGCCGGCGATCACCTGCGACGCCTTCGACTGCGCCGTCGACGTCACGACCGCGGCGCTCGACGCGTGCTTCGACGCCGCGGGCTTCGGCCTCCTCGGCGAGCGCGACGTGCTGTCGACGGTCACGGTCGCGAACCTGAAGCTCCAGCCCCTCGTCTTCGACGACGCGGCCGCGCGCCGCGGCGCCGTCGACGACCCGAGCCGCAAGTCCCTCTCCAAGGCGGACCGCGTCCGCGTGGGCAAGCGCGGCTTCTTCTCGAAGCAGCGGGCCATCAAGATCGACCTCCGCCCGTCGAACACGATTACGATCGCGGGCCCGGAGGCGGGCGTCGATCCAAGTAGAGGTGGCGGGGGGTAATTTGCTCTTACGTAGTCTACTGCGCGCCGCCGAGCCCTGGGAGGCCTAGTACGGCGCGCCGCCTTGGTGGCGAGCTGCTTGCGGGGGGCCTTGCCGCCCGTGGACTTGCGCGCGACCTTCTTCGCGTGCTTCTTGGGCTTCGGCTTCTCGTCCGCGACAAAGAGCGTGTAGCTATCGGAACACACGCATTCAGGACCGCCATGGTAGGAATTGCAACTGCAGAAATCCTCCATCGCGACGATCAGCCGGCGCTCGCCTTTGCGGTTCACCTGGAGCGTCGCCCGGCAAGTCGAACCGGGCGCGAAGCACTCCTCGCAACCATAACCGCCGTTCTCCCAATCGCCGTCTTCGTCCTCGAAGAACAACTCGCCGTCTTCTGTGAGCATGGCTCGGATATCATCGAGGGGTTCTTTCCAACCGCTGATGTCCACCAGGCCGTCCGGAGACGTAGATTTGAAACGAACGGTGAGAGGTGCGTGGACGGTACCTTGAGACCAGTCGTGGTCGAGCATCTCCGCTTGGTCGACCGACGCGCTCCAGCAGTCGCGGGTGGCGCGGTCCAGGGCACCGCGCAGGGCCGGCGAATCGTCCCACGCCTTCGCAACGGCGGCGACGAGCTCATCGTGTCCCAAAGCTTCGACGAACTCGCGAACCTCCGCGAAAGGCGGCGTCGACGCTGTAGCGCTATTCGACGACGACATGTTCGTCTTGGCGGGGTGACGAAGCTCGACGAGGCGGCCGGAAAGCCGTGCCAGACGCGGAACTGGAGCCGTTGCCGCAAGCAAAACTCACGAACGCTGAGACAAGTGCTCGAGGAGCTGCTTGGCCGACGGTGAAGTCCGAGAAGCAGCCCCGACTCGACTCGCGCGCTCTCCACCGCTGCCAAGCTCGGTGCCGTCCGAGAAGCAGCCCCGACTCGACTCGCGGCGATGGCGCTCTCCACCACCACCAAGCTCTTCCCGGGCATCAAGCGCGCGACGGAGCTCGTCCTCGTCAAGGGCCAGGGCAGCCGCGTGACCTGCAGCGGCGGCCGCGACTACCTCGATTTCACCTCGGGCATCGGCGTCACGAGCACGGGCCACTGCCACCCGACGGTCGTCGACGCCGTCCAGCGGCAGGCGGCGACGGCGAGCCACCTCCAGATGAGCGTGGGCTACCACGACCGCATGCTCGAGCTCGTCGAGCGCCTCGAGCCCTTCACCATGGGCCTGGGCAGCTTCTTCTTCGCGAATTCCGGCGGCGAGGCCATCGAGGGCGCGCTCCGCCTCGCGCGGCAGGCGACGGGCCGCAGCGGCGTCATCGCCTTCCAGGGCGGCTACCACGGCCGCACGGCGGGGGCGTTGGCCGTGACGAGCTCGAGCGTCGGCTACCGCGGCGCGGACGCGGGGCCGTTGCCCTACGGGTCCGTCCGCCCGGCGTCCCCGGAACCGGCCTTCGCGACCCGCTGCTTTTTAGGTCCTTCTTCGCGCCGTACCCCTACGCGCACCGCGGGGTCAGCGACGACTTCGCGCTCGCGCAGCTCGACTTGCTCGTGAAGCAGCAGGTCGCGCCGTCGGAGGTCGCGGCGGTCTTGATCGAGCCCGTGCTCGGCGAGGGCGGCTACGTGCCCGCGTCGCCGGACTTCCTGCGGGCCGTGCGCCGGTTCTGCGACGACCACGGCGCGCTGTACATCGCGGACGAGGTCCAGTGCGGCGTCGGGCGCACGGGGGTCATGTACGCGGCGGAGCGCGCGGGCGCGGCCGCGGCGCCGGACATCCTCGTCACGGCCAAGGGCCTCGCGAGTGGCTACCCGCTCTCGGCCGTCGTGACGCGCGCCGACATCTCGGCGACGCAGCTCAAGGGCTGCATGGGCGGCACCTACGGCGGCAACGCCGTCGCGTGCGCCGCGGCCGTCGCGACGCTCGACGTCTTCGCCGAGGAGCGCGTGCTCGACAACGTCGCGGCGCGCGGCGCCCAGGCGCGGGCGGCGCTCGACGAGCTCGACGCCGCGCTGCCGGGCGTCGTCGGCGACGTCCGCGCCGCGGGCCTCATGATCGGCGTCGAGTTCGAGGACGGGCGCCCGGGCATCGCGGGCAAGGTGACGAAGCACTGCGAGGACCGGGGCCTGCTGGCCCTCGCGACGGGCGTCCACCAGGCCGTCCGCCTCATCCCGCCGCTCACGATCTCCGAGGCCGACATGGCCGAGGGCCTCGCGATCTTCTCCGAGTCGGTCATGGCCGCCGCCGCCGAGGCGGACGAGGAGCGGGTGGCGGCGTAGGGAGAGTGGTCTGTAACTCCACATGAGACGGCGTTCTACGGGACGCCTACGGCGTACGCAGCGCGGCCCAATTTTCAGGCCAACCCCCGGCCAAAATTGGCTCACCGCGATCGAGCGGGCGCTTGAGCTCGAGTGGATCGTCTCGTGTCGGCCTGCCGCTCGTCTTCGACGCCCGCGCCGCCTCCAAAGATGAAGGCCGTGCTCCTCGCCCTCCTCGCCCCGGCCGCCCTGGGCCTCGCGCCGACGCGCGTGGCGCCCCGGATGAGCCTGAAGCCCGAGACGGCCGCGGCCCTGGGCAAGGCCGCCGGCGCCGCGGCCCTGGGCGCCGCCCTCGTCCTCGGCGACGTGTCGCCCGCCGCCGCCGCGGCGGCGGCCCCCGCCGCGAAGCAGCCGGGCCCGATCCAGTACGCCCAGCTCGAGGACTGCGCGACGTCGAAGAACTTCGCGAAGCGCCAGCGCAAAACCGTCGCGACGCTCGAGGGCCGCCTCAAGAAGTACGAGCCGGGGTCCCCGCCGTACCTCGCGCTCCAGCAGACGCTGGACCAGGCGAACAACCGCTTCAAGCGCTACGCCGACAGCGACCTCCTCTGCGGCAAGGACGGCCTGCCGCACTTGGTTGTCGACGGAAATCCGGTCCACCTGGCCGAGTTCGTCTTCCCGGGCATCGGCTTCCTCTACACGGCGGGCTACATCGGCTCGGCGGGCCGCAAGTACGTCAAGACCGTGGCCAAGACCAAGAACCCGGCGGAGAAGGAGATCATCATCGACGTGCCCCTCGCGCTCACGATCATGCTCTCCAACTACCTCTGGCCCCGCGACGCGTACGCGGAGTTCATCAAGGGCGACTTCGTCGCCGACGCCGACGAGATCACGGTCTCCCCGCGGTAAGCGGCGGCCGCCGACGGCGGGCGCGGTCCGCGGGTCCGCGGCGCGGCCGCGGCGCGCGCGCGCGATCGGGGGGACGTACACGACACCTCTACTGACCTGCGCGGAGAGGAAAGGGGGGCTGCGCCACGTCGGCCGCTCGTCCAGGTCGCCCGGCCGCGTGGCCTCACGAGGCGGTGTCGCGGCGCGCGGCGGCGGCGGCCCCGGGCAGTCGGCCCGCGCCGCGTTCGGGTCGGCCGGGCCCGCCACGCCGGGCTCGAATCGGGGCCCCGTCGAGCCACGAACCGACCACACGGCCTCCGCCCACAGCCACGCCTCTCCACAACACGCGGGTCGGTTCAACGAACGGGTTGCCGTTCAACACCGACACGGCGATGCATCAAAGCGCGCAAAAACTGAGAAGCCACTCTCTCGATTCTGAGGACCTCCTCGAAGCGTGCGAGTGCAGCCCCACCCGATCCCATGGCCGCGCGGCGCGTCGTCGTCTTGGGCGGCGGGTCCTTCGGCAGCGTCGTCGCGCGCATCGCCGCCGAGGGCGCCGCGGCGCAGCCGGACAAGTTCTGCGCGACGGTGGACTGGTGGGTGCGGCGCCAGGCCCAGGCCGACGAGATCAACGCGACGCACCGGAACGCGACCTACGTCGGCGCGTGCGCCCTGCCGGCGAACCTCGTCGCGACGGCGGACCTGCGCGTCGCCGAGGGCGCGGATCTGGTGATCGTCGCCGTGCCGCACGAGTACCTGGACGGCGTGCTCTCGCGGTTGAAGGGGTCCCTCGCCGCCGGCGCGACGGCGCTGAGCCTCGTCAAGGGCCTGCACGTGGAAGACGGCGCCCTGACGCCCCTGACGGCGCGCATCGCGGCGCTGCTCTGTGCCGAAATCAACCACGGGTTTGGGTTCTTCCAGCCAAACTTCAAACCTCTCGAGCTCGGTCAAATCGAAGTCGATTCGGCTGATTTTTGGACGAATCGATCGTTCTTGCTAAGCTCTCGAAGCACAACAGAAAGCTTCGCGTCGAAACTGTCGAATACAGGCGCTGCTCGGCGCGGAGACGGCCATGCTCGGCGGCCCGAACATCTACGCGGAGATGGCGCGCGACGAGTTCGCGGAGGCGACCATCGGCCACGCGCCGTCGAACCTCGGCGGCGCCCGCGCCTTCCAGGACCTGCTGACGACGCCGACGTTCCGCGCGGACCTCTGCGACGACGTCGTGGGCGTCGACTTGTGCGGGTCGCTGAAGAACTGCGTCACGCTGGCCTGCGGCTTCGTCACGGGGCTGGGCCTGGGCATGAACGCCAAGGCCGCGGCCATGCGGCGCGGCTTCGGCGAGGTGAAGCGCATCTGCGTGCGTTTTTTTGGCGTCGACGTCGCGACGTTCGACGAGGCGTGCGGCTTCGGCGACGTCGTGCTGAGCTGCTCCGTGGGCCGGGGCCAGAAGCTCGCCGCGGCCTTCGTGACCTCGGACAAGTCCTGGCCGGACCTCGAGGCGGAGGTACGATGCCCAGAGCAAAATGGTGACCGGACGACCCGCGCGCCTCGTAGGTCCTCGGCCCGCAGAGCCGCGTCCCCGACTGGCGCAACCTCGCGGCGCTCCACGAATTCCTGGTCGCCAGGGGTGCCGCGGCGGACTACCCGGTCCTCGCGGCCGCGCACGCCGTCGCCTTCGAAGGCGCGCCCGCGGAGGCCATGCTCGCCGCGCTCCGCGCGCCGAAACCGCCCAAGGCCGCCGGCGAGGACGGCGGCACGGTGGCCGTGCGGTCCGCGGCGCCGCCGCGGCCGCCCCTGCTCGCGGCCTTCGAGCCGCCGGCCAAGGCCTTCGACCTCGCCGGCGGCCGCGCGCTCGTCACGGGCGCGTCCGGCGGCATCGGCAAGGCCATCGTCGCGCAGCTCCTGGCCGCCGGCGCGCGGGTGCTGGCCGTGGACTACGGCGCCGAGGCGTTGAAGGCCCTCAAGTCCGAGTTCCCCGCCGTCGACACGCTGGCCCTGGACCTGAGCCGCACGGAGGCCGCGATGGCCGCCGTCGAGGCCGCGCTGGAGGCCGGCGGCCCCGCGCGCTACGTCGTCCACTGCGCGGGCATCGCCAAGTTCGAGCCCGTGCTGGACACGTCGCCGGCGGAGTTCGACCGCCAGTACGGCGTCAACGTGAAGCCGGCCATCTTCGTCACGCAGATCGTCGCCGGGGACCTCGTCGCGAAGGGGCTCTCGGGCTCCGTCGTCCACGTGAGCTCCCAGAGCTCGACGCTCGCCCTCGAGGACCACCTCGTCTACAGCTCGTCCAAGGCCGCCGTGGACCACGTCGCGCGCATCCAGGCGCTGGAGTACGGCAAGCACGGCATCCGCGTGAACACGGTGAACCCGACCGTCGTCATGACGGAGCTCGCGAAGAAGCAGTGGCCCGCGGACAAGCTCGCGGCGATGAAGGCGACGATCCCGCTCCGCAAGCTCGCGGAGCCGGACGACGTCGCCAACGCCGTCACGTTCCTGCTCAGCGACAAGGCGGCCATGGTCTCGGGCACGGCTCTGCCCGTCGACGGCGGCCGCTCCATGGGCGGCCACGGCCTCTAGAGGGGGCACACGTTCCCCCCGCCCGCCCATGTACCATAACCGCCACCCCCGCTCCCTAGAGGCAGAGGCCGCAGACGCCGAAGACGATGGCGAAGATGGGGAAGCCGCGGCCCGCCGCGGGCTCCTTGAAGAAGAAGATGGACGCGAAGGACGCGAGGAGCACGCCGCCGCCGCGCTTGATGGCCGTCACGTAGACCGGCGAGATGCAGGCGAAGGCCTGGTAGAGGCTCAGCATGTAGACGGCCTCCGCCGCGCACGTCGCGAGCACCAGGCCGAGGGTCCCCGGCCGGCCGAGCTCCGCGAGGGACGCCTTGGACGGCCGCGCGCCGGCGAAGCACGTCGCGGCCATGATGATGCGGCCGTAGGTGTAGTAGAGCGTCTTGCCCGCGGCGAGCGTCGCCGCCTTGTCGAGGCGGGACGTCACCGCGTAGACGCAGCAGTTGAAGAGGATCATCCAGGCGCCGGCGGGCAGGCCGGCGACGACCCTGGCGTCGTCGTCCTTCTTCGCCGCGGCCGTCGCCGCCGACGCCGCCGCGACTTTCGCGAGCAGATAGGCGCCCGTGGCGACGCAGCACACGGCCAGCGGGTGGTACGGCGGGAAGCTCGTCTTCGCGTCCGCGCAGCCGACGCCCGCCGTCGCGCAGGCGAGCGGCGCGAGGAGCGCCGGCAGCAGGAACTGCATGACGGGGTCGAAGGCGAGGAAGGGCGCGCAGAGCGACACGTCCGTGATCGCGTAGGCCTGGGCAGCACAAGAGTGATTCAACGTCGCTTCAACGTGAGTGTTCCCCGCGCGCGCGTTCCGGAAAAAGCATCCACGCTTGGAGACCGTTCCGAGAGATGATCGCTCGTCCAAAAGTCAGCCGAAACGAGTGGAAAACGGCCGAGATATGAGCCTTTGACGTTGGGAATTTCGCTCTCTTTTGCCGCCCTCGCGTAGGCCTTGGTCTCGAGCGTCTTCGTGAGCGCGTTGAGCACGGAGGACCCGACGGCGGGCAGGAGGAAGGTGCCGGCGACGGCCGTGCCCAGGAGGCCCTGGGAGTAGCAGTAGGCGACGGCGGCGACGCCCTGGATGGCCGTCGCGAGCCCCACCTGCTCCGCGGGCCGCACGGCGGACCCGCGGCTCACCTGCTTCCGCAGCAGCGCGGCGGCCGTGTTGCCGCAGAGCGCGAGGAAGGAGTAGAAGAGGCCCTGGGCCATGAGCGCGTCCTTGGGGGCCGCGGCCGCCGCGTGCGCCATCTTGTAGTTGACGAAGACGGCGCCCGTGGCCGTGACGGCCAGCGTCGTCGCGACCTTCGCCGGCGACATCCGCTTCCGGGGCGTCGCGGGCAGCTTCGAACGGACCGCGAGCGTATGGGCGACGGAGGCGCAGAGGAAGAGGGTCGGGCGGAGGAACCACTGGCACATCAAGCGTCCATACGTTCAGATTTGCCACACGCTTCTTCCAACCCTTCAACATGTCCGGTTCGACCGCTTTTGTTACCTTTCCACTTGGGTGACATGAGACGCCGGGCAGCCCTGGCGGCGGCCCTCGCCGGGGCCGCCCGCGCCGGGCAGACGGGCCTCAAGGGCATCGACTGCATCGCCGACACGGCCTGCGTCTTCAGCGACGACGCCAACGGCCAGCTCTGCTATTACGACCTCGCCACAGGCGAAGCGAGCCTCCTAACCGCGGACGTCGGCGCGCCGCGGGACGTGCAGCTCTCGCGCGACGGCACGCTCGTCGTCGCGAGCGACTGGGGCCGCAACGCCGTGGCGAAAATTACGGTCGCGACGAAGAAGGTGGCGACCGTGTCGTGCCTCGGCGAGGACCGATGGACCGTCGAGTCGACCGACGGCGACATCCCCGTGCCCAACGTGCGCGAGATTTTTTCCTACTCCTACGAGAGCCGGCGCCTCGGCACTTTTTCCTACAGCTACGACTTCGTCGACGACGACGGCTGCGACGCCGCGACCGCGCCGGAGGGGATCGCGCTGTTGTCGGGCGGGCGGTACGCGGCGGCGACGCTCTCGGAGACGGGCCAGGTCGCGTTGGTGGACCTCGACGACGGCCGCCACAAGGGCCTGCTCGACCCCGACGACGCGTCGTCCATGGGCGCGGCGTCGAGCGGCGAGAAGGTCCACGGCCTCGCGGTCTCCGGCACGAAGGCCAAACCGTGGGTCGTCGGCACGATATACGACCGCGACAGCGGCCAGTCGGCGCTCTTCGCCGTGGACCCGCTCACGGGCCACTTCGAGCGCGCCGTCGCGACGGCGCCGAAGCCCTCGGAGTGGTTCGACGTCGAGGCGCTGCCGTCGACGGGCGCGGACGCGAGCGCGTTCGTGGTCCTCGACCGGGCCGCGCAGGGGCTCTACCTCCTGGAGACGGCGAGCGACTACGCGGGCCGCCAGCCCGGGTCCTTCTCCTTGACGCTGTTGGCCGGCAGCGACGAGGGGAAGCGCGGCTTCGCGGACGGCTACGGCGCCGCCGCGCGCTTCGACGATTTGCACGCGCTCGGGGCCTACGACGCCGAGTCCGTCGTCGTCGCGGACCTCGGGAACGGCGCCGTGCGCCGCGCCTGGTTCGCCGGCGACAAGAAGGGCAAGGTGAAGACGCTCTTCTCCGTCGACGCCGCGGGATGCGCGGCGACGAAGGCCGACGCCGCCGACGTCGACGCCGTCGAAACCGTCGACGCCGTCGCGACCGTCGCGGCGGCGAGCGAGAGCCTGCCGGCGGCCGTGGCCAAGGCCGCGAAGCGCGAGGCGCGCTACACGTTCGCGGACTTTGGCGCGCCCGTGCTGCTCATCGCCGTCTTCGGCGCCGTCGTCGGCCTCGCCGCCGCCGCCAACGGCCGGAGGCGCTACGGCGCGTGGGGGACCTACGCGGCGATCCCGTCGTCCTGCGACGCGGAGTCGGCGTTCGCGCGCGCGCGCGACGCCTACGGCGTGCCCGACGCCGGCGACGAGCTCCTCGGCGACGCGCGGCCCGCCCGCCTCGACCGGCCCTGTTATTAGCCAGTTTTTTCGATTAGATGACGACGACGTAGGGGTCGCGGTTCGGCACCTGGCGGGCGTCGCCGCAGAACGCGACCGCGGCGATGTCGGCGCTCCGCAGCGCGATGTCCAGCGCCGTCTCGCCCGGCGTCGACGTCAGCGCGAGGGCCGCGGAGATGGGCGCGTGGCGGGGGCACGGCTCCTCGCGCGTGAGGTTCGCGACGACGACCTCGCCCGGCGGCCGCGAGTGCGCCCAGCCGACGACGCAGCGCTGCGCGGCGATGAACGCGGCCATCGTCGCGTTCCAGCTCGCGAGCGCCGCGGTGAGCGTGGCGGGCTGGGCCCAGAAGCAGTTGTCGCGGTTCCGCTTCCCCGGGGGGTCCCGGCCGCAGCCGTGCAGAACGCCCCGGCCCGACCGCCGCGCGCCCGCCGCGGCCGCGAGGGCCGCGAAATCCGCGCGCGTGAGGTGGTCGATGTCGACGACGCCGGAGTAGCGGTCGCTGTCGCGCTGCCAGACGTCGGGCCGCAGCCGCGCGGCGACGTCGTAGGGCAGTTCGCTCCTCGCCCGGAGCGCGTCCGCGGCGACCGCCGCGTGCGTGAGCCCCCGCAGGCCCTGGTAGGACTGGCCCGTGTCGGCGAAGCGCACCGGCGCCTTCGGGTCGAGCCAGCCGCGCTTCGCGAGGCGCCGCCACTGGCCCTCGGCGACGCGCTGGTCCTCGACGGCCGAGCCCGCGAAGCCGAGCCGCGCGTCGAGCCGCGCGACGCAGGGCGTCGACGGCGTCGCCGCCGGCGGGTCCCGGTCGTGCCACGTGCTCGTCGTCGCCTCCGTCGTCGACCACGTGTGCAGGAAGACGTCGCAGTCGAGCACGCGGCGGCAGTCGTCGACCATGGACGCGAAGGCCTCGAAGTGGCTCTCGTTGGCGCACATGGACCGCAGGTGGCCCGAGACCTGCAGTGCGACGCGCAGGGACCGCGCGGCGCCGAGGGGCAGGAGCCACAGAAAGCAGCGCATTCGCACGAGACGGGCTACGACCTGCCGGTCGGGCAGCCCATTGCACGGCCGCGGGATGACACGGGATATCCGGCTACGACTTGCCGGTCGGGCAGCCCATGCGACGGGATGACACTCGTAGATGACACTCGTCGAGGCAACGAGGCCGATGTTTTCTTTGTTGAGCCTGCTCGCCACAAACGAGGTGTGGAGGAGAGGCCTTGTGGTGCGCTGCGCCTGACGCGTTGTGCTGACGCGCTGTCGGGTCGCCGCCGACGAATTAAAAAGAAATGATGCTCGCGCTCCACGCGTCGGAGGTCGCGTCCTTCCGGGACTTCGCCGCCGGCGACGACGGCGCCCAGTCGTCGCTTGTTCGGTCCGCGGCGCTGCTGCCGCGCGTCGCGAACGGCGACTTCCGCAAGCCCGCCTCCGACGAGGTGGAGATCGAGGTGCTCAAGGCGGGCAACGGCGCGTTCCCCGCCGCCGGCGACGCCGTCAAGGTGCACCACGTCGGCCGCGTCGCCGGCAGCGGCGTCGTCTTCGACGCGTCGCGGTCCAAGGGCGCGGGCAAGCCCTTCGAGTTCAAGCTCGGCGCGCGCGCGGTCGTGCCCGCCTTCGAGATGGCGACGCTCCAGACGAGCCTCGGGGGCACGTCGCGCGTCCGCGCGCCCGCGCGCTACGCGTACGGCGACGCCGAGGTGCCCAAGCTCATCCCGCCGAACACGGATCTCATCTTCGACGTCACCTTGGTCGCCATCGGGGACCGCGTCGTCGAGGACGACCCGCCCGTCGTCGAGCAGCTCGAGGAGCTCCCGCCCTGGCTCGCGGCCATCGCGCCGCCTCCCACGCCCCCAGAGTACGCGAGCTTCGTCAAGGCGCGGCGGTCCCGGGCGGACGTCGCCGCGCTCGACCACCCGCGCTTCCGCGGCGCGCCGCCGTCCTTCGACGCGGGCGACGCGGCCGACGGCGCGTGGACGGGCACGAGCGACGTGTCGACGACGGGGCTCTGCGTCGCGCGCGATATCGGCGCGGCCTGGGAGGGGCGCGAGCGGTGGACGTGGGACGAGCTCATGGAGAGCGACTGGGCGAACGAGCAGTGGATCCTCGCGAAGCTCCGCGCGCCCTTGACGCCCAAGGAGCACCTGCGGGACGTCGCCGTCGTCGAGATGACGCTCGCGGACTACGCGCTCTACGCCATGTGGACGCAGTGCCTCGACGAGGACGACGACGTGCCCGACGCGCGAAAGGACGCCTGCCGCGGTTCTACGTCAACGGCTGGGAGGCCTTCGAGCGTTTGGAGGCCCAGCGGCCCCTCTTCGAGCCCCACCCGCCCTGCGTCTCCGATCTGACGCTGGAGCTGCTGTCGCAGACGGAGCTCGCGACGAACAAGATGATCTTCGGGGACAAGCTCAAGACCGTGGAGGCGATGAGCCGGTCGGCCGCGGACGCGTCGTCGCGGCGCCTCGTCAAGGTCTTCGTGGGCTGCGGCGGCTCGGCGACGCGCCTCCACTTCGACAACGCGGGCGCCCACGCGTGGCTGAGCATGGTCCGGGGCTCGAAGCTCTACGTCGCCTACGCGCCGTCCGACGCGGCCTACCTCTACGCCGAGGGCAGCCACAGCCCCATCGACCCCCTCGCGCCCTACGCCGAGACCGTCGCGGCCTACCCGGACTACGCCAAGGCGACGCCCTACGCCGTCGTGCTGCGCGAGGGCGAGACGATCCTCGTGCCGAGCGGCTGGTGGCACTACGCGGTGTCGCTCGAGCCGTCGCTCACGGTCATGCGCAACTTCTGGAACAACTCGAACATCGGCGCCTTCACGGACATGTCCAAGGAGCAGCTCAAGAAGAAGGTCGAGGTCCTGCGGTCCAAGGGCATGCTCCGCGCGGCCGCGCCGAACGACGACGCGCGCCTCGCGGCCGCGGCGACGCCGCCGACCATCGCGGGCTGAGGCGCCGCGCCGCCGGGGGGCTTTTTTGCTCGCGAGCCGTAACACTAGAGAGGGCTCGACAAACCAGAGGACGTTTCCACGTGCACCCCGATCTTCATCACAAGCAGGCGCGCGCATTAAAACTCCACGGAGGCGGACGGCGCGGCGGTGGTTCGTCGAGCCTCCCAGACGCGGCGGTGGTCCGAGTCGGGAAAGTAGAAGCGCGCGTCGACGGTGCCGTCGGCGGCGACGTTCTCCGGGTGGAGCGCCGCGAGCCAGGCCTCGTAGGTCGCGCCGTCGCCGGCGTCCGCGAGAAACGCGTCGCAGTGCCGCTCGATCACGTCGAGGTTCGCGCGCGTGCTTTCGCGGACGGCGGCCGCCGCGTCGCGCGCGTCGCGCGCGTCGCCGCCGCCGCGGCCCCAGCCGAGCGTCGCGAAGACGCCGCGCGTCGCGTCGCCGAAGCGGTAGGCCCCGCGGTCCGCGTCGCCGCCCCGCGCGACGCGGCCCGCGGCGAGCACGCCGCGCGTCACGTCGCCAAACTTGTAGCGCGCGGCGCCGTCGGCGCCGCGGTCCGCGTGGCCGCCGAGGGCCGCCGTGTCCGCGACGCGGCCCGCCGTGCCGTCCTTGGCGCGCGACGCCGCCGACGCCGCCGCGCCGCCGACGGTCGCGCCCGCGGCCGAGCCCGCGCGCGCGCCGTCGACGGCCGCGCGGCCGAGCGCGGCCACGCGGTCGTGCGCGACGGCCGCGAGGCCCCGCGTGACGTCGCCGAAGGCGTAGGCGTCGTAGGGGTCGCGCCCGCGCGCGAGCTTGCCCCGCGCGAGCACGCCGCGCCCATAGTCGCCGAACGCGGCGCCGCCGCCGTCCGCGCCGCCGTCCGGGTCGTAGGCTCGCGAGTCCGTAGACTCGCGGAGCACGCGGCCGAGCCGCGACGTCACGGACCGGCCCGCGGCGGCGTCGCCGAACGCGCCGCCGGCGTTCGCGACGGCGCCCACGGCCGCGCCGACGGCCGCGCCCGCGGCGCCGGCGACGGCCGCGACGGCCGTGCCCGCGGCGCCGGGCGGCGACGGCGGCGCCGGCGCGGGGTCCGGCGGCAGGGCGTCGTCGTCGTCGTCCGCCCAGGCGAAGAGGTCGCTTTGCGGCGGCGGCGGCGGCGTCTCGCGCATCTCGCTGCGCGCGTACTCGTAGACGTAGGGGTCGAAATCGCGGATGTCGCTGTCCATGTCTTTTCAGGAGCTCGTGTCCAGCTCGAGGCACGCGTCCGACCCCGCGAACAGCTGGGAGCGGAGCGTGGCAGAACAATTGGATTGCGACCCCGAGGCGTGAGCCTCGGCGCGTCGTGCATCAATCAGTCATCAACAAGTCATCAACGTCAACCTGTGCAGCTCGGGCGAGAATCTAGAAGCAATGGGCAGCCTCCATCTCGCGATCATGGTGCTCGCCGCGGCGTCGGCCGCCAACCTGCGCGGCAACGCGACGGTGGGCGTCGACTACCCGTCGACCGGCACGAACTCGCTCGAGGCCGGCGGCGGTGGGAAATGCACCTACCATTATACGACTCACGACTCCATGCCCGTCGTCACGTCCGCCAGTTGCAAGCAGCGTCCTGCGGCCGCGACGATTTTCGAGAGATTTCCGGTGGGGAAACGATGACACATTTGCTAGGTTGCAAGATCTCCAAGGAGGACCTCGACACGGGCAGCGAGCCGCAGCCGACGGAGCGCGACTACGTGCACAAGCTCGGCGGCCACGACAGTTGCACCGACGACGACGCGGGCCACATCCTCGCGAACCAGCTCGGCGGCAAGGCCGTGCCCACGAACCTCTTCCCCCAGGAGCCCCACCTCAACCGCGGCGCCTGGGAGCAGTTCGAGAAGAAGATCTACGCCTGCGTCAAGGACGGCGCCGCGACGCTCTCCTGGACCTTCTCCTACGCCTCGACGAAGGACCAGCGCCCGTCGAAGGCGACCTACAAGGTCGCCTACGCGGCCGGCTCCGCCTGCGACGACGCGAGCGAGTCCTTCGAGAACCCCTGCGACCAGGCCACCGCGACCCTGTAAGCACTCGAGCCCTTCGAGCGCCCCTGGCTTTTGCGCCACTCGAGCTCGCGTCGCCCTTCGAGAACCGCAGACCGCCCCGTGCGCATGTCTTAGACGGGCGTGAGGGCCAGGTGGACGCCGCCCGCGTTGGAGAGCGTCAGCGCGAGGACGGGGTCGGGCTCGGGGCTCTGGCCCGGCGCGAGCTCCATGTGGAAGTCCGCGACGACGCCCGCGAGGAGCAGCTTCGCCTCGATCATGGCCAGCTTCATGCCCACGCAGCCCCGCGCGCCGAAGCCGAAGGGCAGCCACGCGTACGCGTGGCTCGCGTCGCCCGCGCGCTGGCCGCCGAGGAACCGCTCCGGCCGGAACTCGAGGGCGTCGGGCCAGACCTGGGCGTTGCGGCCCAGCAAGTAGGGCGACACGAGCGCGCTCGCGTTGCGCTCGAACGTCGCCCCGCCGTAGGCGAAGGCCTCGTCCTTCTCGTAGAGCCGCCCTAGGAACGGCGCCGCGGGGTAGAGGCGCATCGACTCCTTGAGCACGGCGTTCAACAGGGGCAGCTTCGCGACGTCGTCGGCGCCCACGGCCCCCGCCGGCGCCGCGGCCGTCACCTCGTCGCGGAGCGCCCGCTGCAACTCGGGCCGCGACGCCAAGAGCAGCGTCGTGAACGCGAGCGTGTTCGACGTCGTGTCGTAGCCCGCGCCGAGGATCTGCGTCGCGTTCCAGATCACCTCCGCGTCGCTGTACGCCGGCGCCTCGTCGAGGAGCATGTCGACGAAGCACGTCGGCTCCGCGCCCGCCGCCAGCGCCTCGCGCCGCGCGTCGACGATGGGCCGCACGAGCTCCACGAGCCGCTTCCCGTTGTCCACGTAGCGGTCGTACGCCGGCGCCTACCGAGCGCGTCGGTAACGATTTTACTCTTCGTCGTCCCGGTCAACATCTCTCGAGAATCGTCGCCGCCACAGGACGCTGGCCGGCGCGGGGAAGCCCCAGCGCCAGTAGGGCAGCGGCGCGCCGATGCACTCGCCGATGCCCGTGAAGATGGCTTTGAGTCGCGCCTCCAGCTCCGCCTTGTCGCCCGCCGCGGACCCGATGTCCGCCTCGAAGGCCAGGCTCCCGACGATGTCGAGCGCCGTCCGCGCGAAGAGCGTCTGCACGTCCACGGGCGCGCCGCCCGCGTCCCGCAAGATCCCGCCGAGCTCCGCGGCCTTGTCTTTGATGATCGCGTGCGACCGCTTCACGAACGACGTCTTGAGCAGGCCGTCCTCCGACGCCTTGCGCGCCAGGCCCCAGTGGAAGTGTCCGTTCGCGAAGGCGACGCCCTGGGCCTCCGGGTCGCCGACGATGGCGTCGGACGAGTCGCGGAAGAACGGCAGCACCGCGGCGGACCGGCCCGTCCAGCCGCTCCGCGGCGCCAAAAGCGCCTGGGCCAGCGCCGGGTCGCCGACGACGACGGGCGTCCGCGGGCCGAAGTGGGCGACGAAGGCCCAGGCGTCGAGGTCCCTCGCGACCCCTTCGAGGTACTCGTGCATCTTCGGCGGCTTGAAATTGAGGGCGTGGCCGACGAGGGGCAGCCGGCCGGGCGCCGTGGGGATCGACGAGCCGTCCGTGGACGGGGCGGCCACGGCGAGGCTCTTCCGGCGCCGCGCGGCGGCGCGGAGGCGGCGGGCCGCGAACGCGGGCGGCCGCAGCATCACGAAAATGCAGGACCTCGTTCGATGGGCTGGGAAGGCGTTTTTGGCTTCGTTGAAGTGCTATGTTGACGTTTATTTGCCACAAGCGCTCCACACGCGGCGCTCGTCGTCGCATCAGGCGCCGCGCGCACCGCAGCCCGGCGCGCTGCGCACGCATCATGGCCGCCAACGTCGACGTCGACAGCATGGGCGTCAAGGCCATGAAGGAGCTCATCAAGTCCGCGGGCCTCTCGCACGCCGACTGCTGCGAGAAGGCGGACCTGCGCAACCGGAGCCGCGAGGCCCTCGCGCGCCTCGCCGAGGCCAACGTGCGCCGGCCCGCGCCCGCGCCCGGCGCGCCGGAGACCGCGACGTTCGGCAAATGGCCCACGATCGTGAAATACGCGAACGGCGCGACGCGCGACGCGCACGATTTCGTCGTCGCGATGCTCCACGGCGTCAACGCGCCGCCCGACGATTTGGTGCCGCTCTGCGACCCCATGGGCCAGCTTTTAGGCGGCACGCGCTGCGTCTTCGCGTTCCCGTCGGCGGGGCCCCAGTGGTGGGACCTCGACCCGAACCGCTGGGCCGCGGCGGCCGCGAACGGCGAGGGCGCGCTCGCGTCGTTGATCCGCGAGCCGCCCGCGGGCTTCGATGCGTGCCGCTCCGACGGGCTCGCCTTCGTCGCCGCGCTGCGCGAAACGTTCCCCCAGGGCGCGCTCGTCCTCGGCGGCTTCTCGCAGGGCGCGATGACGGCCACGGACGTCGCGCTGTCGCTGCCGAAAGACGCGCCGCTCGCGGGCATCCTCCACATCTCCGGCGCGCCCCTCGTCGTCGAGAAGTGGGCCCGGGACCTCGCGGAGCGGCGGCACCACATCCTCATCTCCCACGGCGAGGCGGACCCGACGCTGCCCTTCGTGGTCTCCACGTGGACCCGGGAGCTCTTCGGGGGCGCGGGCGCGGCCGTCGAGTACCACAAGCACCCGGGCGGCCACGGCGTCGGCGACGAGGCCACGCTGCGCGCCATCGGGGCCTGGCTCAAGCGCGCCGCGGCGCGCGCGTAAGCGGGGCCTAGACATCGCCGCGCGGCCGCGCGGCGGCCGGCCGCTCGTCGTGCGCTGCACCTGCCTCGCGCGCGAGTCCGCGAGTGCTTGTGATTGTGCGCCGCGAGGCCGCTTTAGAGTCCCCCGGAGCCTCCCCGGCGACCGTCGAAAAACGAATTGGTGCTGCTGGCGATCAGAAATTTACCTTGACGCGTCTCTAAACGTAGGGGGCCCGGGGAGGAACCGCGGGAGTCGGAGTTTTCAGAGGCTCGGCCTCAGGTTCAGCCGGAGCTTACCACAGCTCAGTTTCAACGCCGCCTGGTATTAGTCGCACGTCGTCTCCGAAAATCAAGGGAAAAGAGGAGCAGCGAACCTCCGCGCCTCTTCCACGCCCCACGCCGAGGCCTCGAGGCGTCGCCGAGCCCTCGGCGTCGAGGCGTCACAGGGCCCTCGGCGCTCTGCTTCGAGCTTGGCCGACGCCAGCCTCTCTTCCCTCTGCGCGCCCGCCCGCCGCCGCTCGTCGGAAGGCGATCTCCCCGGCCGCCGACGCCCTCGTCCGCCCCCACATCGCGCGCCGCGCCGACCGCCGACGCCCTTCGCCCGCAGGCCGGTGAATTCAGCGACGCGCGAGACGAAGCGATGGCGGTGAGCGTCGTCTTGGTTCTCCTGGCCGCCCGGGCGTCGGCGCTCTGCATCCTGCGGAACAAGACGTTCTGCTGGGGGAACGAGCATCGCTACGTTAATCGTACGGGAAGCGCGAGCCCCTTCGAAGGCATCGTCGGTAGCACGCCCGCGTTCGCCGACCTCGACGGCGACGGCGACCTCGACCTCGTCGTGAGCGGCTCCGACGGCACCGATGATGAACCACACTACGGAGCCGGCACCTACTACTACTCCTCCTCCTACGACGGCACCCTCGACTACTACAAGAATAACGGGAATGCGACGTCGCGGAGCTACGAGGCCGTCACCGGCGCCGCGAACCCCTTCGACGGCATCGCCGTCCATTCCAGCGGGAGCACGCCCGCATTCGGCGACCTCGACGGCGACGGCGACCTCGACCTCGTCGTGGGCGACGAGGACGGCACCCTCTTCTACTACGAGAACGCCGGGTCCGCGGCGTCGCCGAGCTACGAGGCCAGGACCGGCAACGATAACCCCTTCGACGACGTCGACGTCGGTCGCAACAGCGCGCCCGCGTTCGGCGACCTCGACGGCGACGGCGACCTCGACCTCGTCGTGGGCGAATTCCGGGGCGCCCTCTTCTACTACGAGAACGTCGGGAATGCGACGTCGCCGAGCTACGAGGCCGCCATCGAGAACCCCTTCGACGGCATCGACGTCGGTCTCCACAGCGCGCCCGCGCTCGGCGACCTCGACGCCGACGGCGACCTCGACCTCGTCGTGGGCGAGTACGACGGCGCCCTCTACTACTACGAGAACGCCGGGTCCGGGGCGTCGCCGAGCTACATGGCCGTCACCGGCACCAGGAATCCCTTCGACGGCATCGACGGCGGTGACTACAGCAGGCCCGCGATTGGCGACCTCGACGGCGACGGCGACCTCGTTCTCGTCGTAGGCGTACGGAACGGCGACCTCTACTACTACGAGATCGAAGGGCCCGCGGTCTTGCCGAGCTACGCGGCCGTCATCGGCAGCGCGAACCCCTTCGACGGCATCGACGTCGGTTCCTTTAGCAAGCCCGCGTTCGGCGACCTCGACGGCGACCTCGACCTCGACCTCGCCGTGGGCGAGAAGGACGGCGGCCTCTACTACTACGAGAACGTCGGGTCCGCGGCGTCGCCGAGCTACGCGGCCGTCACCGGCAGCGCGAGCCCCTTCGACGGCATCTACGTCGGTTCCCGCAGCAAGCCCGCGCTCGGCGACATCGACGGCGACGGCGACCTCGACCTCGTCGTGGGCGAATTCGACGGCGGCCTCTCCTACTACGAGAACGTCGGGTCCGCGGCGTCGCCGACCTACGCGGGCCGTCGCCGCGACGCGAACCCCTTCGACGGCATCGACGTCGGTACCGACTCCGCGGGCCGGGGCTTCAGCACGCCCGCGTTGGTCGACCTCGACGGCGACGGCGACCTCGACCTCGTCTTGGGCGAAGAGGAAGGCGTCCTCAACTACTACGAGAACGTCGGGTCCGCGACGTCGCCGACCTACGCGGTCGTCAGCGGCGACGCGAACCCCTTCGACGGCATCGACGTCGGTTCCTACAGCGCGCCCGCATTCAGCGACCTCGACGGCGACAGCGACCTCGACCTCGTCGTGGGCAGGGACGCAGGCGTCCTCAACTACTACGAGAACGTCGGGTCCGCGGCGTCGCCGAGCTACGTAGCCGTCACCGGCAACGAGAACCCCTTCGACGGCATCGACGTCTCGGGCCTCTGGGACTCCAGCGCGCCCGCGCTCGGCGACATCGACGGCGACGGCGACCTCGACCTCGTCGTGGGCGCGGCGAACGGCTTCCTCAACTTCTTCGCGAACGGTTACTGCACGCAAGGCGACACTGCCTGCGGTAGCAAGGGCCTCTGCGATACAGGGCTCCTGGCCTCCGTCGTCTTCTCCGAAGCGTACTGCCAGTGCCTCGGCGGCTTCGACCACGAGGTGCCCGGAGTGGTCGAGCAGTGCGGCGAGTGCCAGGCGGGTTTCTACGGGAAGACCTGCGAGCCGTGCCCGCAAGGGGGTAACGAAGACCGCAACGCGCCGCGCCTCACGGACACTTGCGGCATCGCGGGGAGCGGCCGGTCGCGCGGCTCGTGCGACGACGGCATCCGCGGCGACGGGACGTGCGCGTGCTTCGGCGACGTCTTCTCGGGGAGCGGGTGCACGAACGGCACCTGTCCCGCGGGGACCGTCGAGAACGCGACCTTCGATGGCTACTACAACAACGCCGCATGCACGCCCTGCGACGCCGGCACCTTTTCGGCCGAGGGCGACGACGAGTGCACGAAATGCGCCTCGGGCAAGTTCTCGGCCGAGCGCGCGAGCGAGTGCGCGATCTGCTCCGCGGGGTCGTATTCCGGTCCTGGCGCGAACGTGTGCTCAAGCTGCGCGATCAGGACGTACCAGGATGAGACCGGCAGCCCGAACTGCAAGCTCGCGGACGCTGGCTTCTTCGTCGACTCGCTCGGCGCCTCGGAGCAGACCGCGTGCGATGCGGGCAAGTACAGCGGCTCCGCCGCGAGCGAGTGCATCGCCTGCGAGGCCGGGACGTACCAGGGTGCGACTGGTGAATTTAGCTGCGCGCTCGCGGACGCCGGCTTCTTCGTCGACTCGCTCGGCGCGTCGAAACAGGTCGCGTGCGATGCGGGCAAGTACAGCGGCTCCGGCGCGAAAGCGTGCATCGACTGCGAGGCCGGAACATACCAGGACGCGATCGGCGAGTCTAGCTGCAAGATCGCCGAGGCTGGGTCCTTCGTCGACGTCGCCGGCGCGTCGAGGCAACGCCCGTGCCCCGCGGGCTCATTTTCCGGCTCCGCCGCGAGCGAGTGCGTCGACTGCGAGGCCGGTACGTACGTCCCGCGGTCGGGCGCCGTCGCCGCGGTCATCGCGGACGCGGGCTACGTCGTCGAGGTGGAGGGCGCGTCGGAGCAGACCAAGTGTCCACCCGGTTCCTACTCGGGCGCGAAGGCCTCCGCGTGCGCGCTCTGCGACCCCGGTCGCTTCGCGAACCTCGAAGCGACCGCGAGCTGCACGTTCGCGCTCCCGGGCACGTACGCCTGGGTCGCGGGGGCCGTCGCCGCATCGGTTTGTCCCGCGGGCCGATACTCCGCCTCGGGCGCGTCTTCCTGTGACCTGTGTCCGGACGGACAGACGAGCGACGAGGGTTCGGCGACGTGCGCGCCCGTGGACGCCGGCTTGACGAACGCGGAGCTGTCGACGATCACGTTCGAGGTCGGCACCGGGTTGGTGCTCTCTGGCTTGGACGCGGTCCGCTTCCCCGACGACGACGCGGCTCGCGAGGCCTTCGCGTCCGCCGTCCGCGAGATCGTCAACGCGCCCGGTGGTGGTGCGGTCTTCGACGTCTCCGCCGAGGACGTCCACCTTTCGGCCGGGCGTCGGCGCCTCGACGCGGCCGGGAGCGACGCGGTCCGCTTCGTCGCGCGCGCGGTCTACGAGCTCGTCCCCGGAGAGACCGCCTCCGAAGGCGTCATGGAGTACACCAAGACTTTTTACCAGGACACCGTCAGAACCGCGCTGCTCGATTCGATCGAGAGCGGAGACGCGCAGCGCGCGTTCGACCGCCAGGACGCGACCGGCACCTCGCTCGCGTCGGTCGTCGTCGACGAGGCGTCGAGCCTGGCGATGGTCCGCGGCGAGACGGCGCTCGAGATCGGTGAGCTTTTCGCCGCCACGGACGCGCTCGTCGTCGCGTGCCCGCCGGGGACCTACTCGACGTCCGGCGCGGCGTCCTGCACGCCGTGCCAGCCGGGAACCTACACGGACGCTCCCGGCCAAGCTATTTGCAAGCTCGCGAGTCCGGGCACGTTCGTGCCCGTCGAGGGCGCCTCGACCGCCACGCCGTGCCCCGTCGGCACGTTCTCAAAAAGCACCGCGTCGTCCTGCACGCCGTGTCCTCGGGGCTCTTACAGCAACCTCACGGAGCAGAGCACGTGCGCGCTCTGCGCGACGCCGACGACGACGCTCCGAGAAGGCAAGACCTACTGCGACGCGTGCATCGGCGACTACTACTGGGACCGGCGACGGTACGTACAGCACGCCGACGAGACGCCCCTCGCCGAAAGCGGACAGCCGCTGCCGTGCAAGGATTGCTGCTTGGAGTGCGACGGCGCGTGCGCGGTCGACGGAGACGACTGCGTCAGCTGCCCCGCGGGCACGACCTTGGAGTCGATGGACCTCAAGAAGAATTATTGGCGCGTGTCGGAGCGAGCGAAGAAGATTTACGAGTGCACCCTCGAGAAGTCGTGCGACGGCGGGTGGAATAGCTCGTGCGCGCCGGGGCACAAGGGGCCGCTGTGCGGTTCCTGCGAGGCGCACTTTTTCTACGACGCCGTTAAAAACCGCTGCGAAGACTGCCGCGACAAGATCAAGGCGACGGGATCGAACATCGTCGGGACGATCCTGGCCGCGCTCCTGCTCCTCAGCGTGGTGGGCGTGGTCGTGCGCCGGTTCGGCCTCTCCGAGGTCTGGACGAACGCCGCGCACCTTTTCCGCGAGGTCGCCAAGGGCGAGGCGCCCGAGGACATCGCCACGGAGAAAATGGAGGAACAAGACGAGCCTGTTCCGGCCAAAAAGTCCGTCGTCGTCGACGTCGATGAGTACGCCGCGAACGAGGCGCTCGAGGAGGCGGAGACCGCGTTTCTGAGCGCGGCGCGGCGGTGCTTCGACATGATCGACGCGGACGGCAGCGGCACGCTGACGAGGATGGAGATCGCCGAGGCCGTCGCGGGCAACGACGAGGTCGTCGAGTTCCTCCGCACGTGCGGCGACGACAACCTCCGGCTCCTGCTGGAACCCGGCCGCATCGACGTCGCGCTCCACGTCTTGGACCCGTCCGGGGACGGCGCGATCGACGCGGACGAGTGGGAGGCGGCGGTCCAGCGCGGCGCGTGCCTCGACGGGCAAGGCGAGGCGGCCGCCAAGCGGGGCGCCGTGACGAAGCTCAAGATCGTCATCGCGACGTACCAGATTGTCACGAGCATCACGTGGACGCTGCCCCAGGTGCGGTTCCCGGCCGCCTTCGACCGCATGCTCAAGCTCTTTTCGTTCGTGAACCTGAGCCTCATCAGCTTCGCGAAGCCGGAGTGCTTCGGGAGCTTCCGCTACTTCGACAAGCTCGTCTTCGTGACGCTCATCCCGCCGGTCGTCCTCTTCGCGATCGCAGCCGCCGCGGCGCTGCGCTGCTCGTGCGTGGCGCGCGAACGGCGGCCCGGGGTCGTCGACGCCGCGTGGTACTGGTCATTGTTCGCGCTCTACGTGCTCGTGCCTTCGACGTCGTCCTACTGCCTGCGATACTTCGCGTGCCTCGACTACGAGGGCGGCTACGGCGACGACATCTCCATCCTGCAGATCGATCCGATGATCGCGTGCACGTCGAACAGCTGGAAGCGGGCGTGGATGCCCTACGCCGTCATCGCGATCTTCGTCTACCCCGTCGGCGTCCCGCTGGGCTTCGCCGTCGCGCTCTGGAGGCTGCGCGCGCGCGTGAACCCGCCGCTGGCGGACGAGGGGCGCGACGCGCCAGCGAGCTCCAACGTCATCGACAGCGCCGTCGCGATGCATCGCGTGCGGCTCCAGCAGATGGGGAAGCTCGAGATCCGCGACGGCGACCCGGCGCTCGCGCACGTCGAGTTCCTCTTCGAGGAGTACGAGCCGCGGTGCTACCTCTTCATCGTCTACGAGATCCTGCGGCGCATCTTCCTCACGGGCGTCCTCAGCATGTTCCGGGCCGGCACCATCTCCCAGATCGCCATCGGCCTCCTCGCGACGATCGTCTCGCACCGCGTGTTCACGTTCTACGAGCCCTACATCGAGGACGACGACGACCTCGTCTCCGAGATCGCGCAGACGGAGCTCGTGCTCGTCTTCTTCTACGCGCTCATGGTCTTCGCCATGGCCCACGTCGGGCAGCGCGACGCCGCCTTCGCCAGCGACGCGTTCACGTACATCCTCATCGTCCTCATGTCGTCGACGTTCGCCGCCGCGCTCGCGATGGTCGTCCTCGGTCAGCTCGGCAAGCAGGACCGGCAGGACCTCTTCGAGTCCCTGTCCAAGTCCGTGACCTCGTCGTTCGGCGCCCTCGCCGCGCCCAAGGCCGCGGCCCGGGGCGCCGCGAAGGCGCCGCCGGTGGAGGCGGGCGCCGTCCGGACGGACGCCGTCCGCACGGACGCTGCGGACGTCGCCCAGACGGCCCTCGGGGCTTAACTAAGCTTATTCGCCCTCTTCCCTGGGCCGGGGACCCTCTGGGGGGCCACTACGAGGGGGCGCGAGGGCTCCGTGCCGATGTTTGCCCTTCAAGCGGGCATCGACGCGCTGGTCAAGGGGATCTTCAAGTATCGATACTTGAAGATCCCCTTGCGCTGGTCGCGGCAATCTGCGGACTCGACCCGCCGCCGCTTGCGCACGCGCCGACGCGCGGAGCACTGCACACGTCACCGGACGCTGCGCGAGCGCCGCGCGTCGCAGCCGTCGCGAGCGCCGCGCGTCGCAGCCGTCGCGAGCGCCGCGCGTCGCAGCCGTCGCGAGCGCGCGCGTCGCAGCTGTCGCGAGCGCCGCGCGTCGCAGCCGCCGCGACGCCGGCGCCGGCGGCCGTCGCACCATGCTGCGGCGCCTGCTGCTCGTCGCCCTGGCCGCCGTGGCCAAGGAGACGGACTTTTACAAGCTGCTGAAGATCGACAAGAGTTTCAACGAGAAGCAGCTCAAGAGCGCCTACCGCGAGGCCGCGAAGAAGTACCACCCGGACAAGAACCCGGGCGACGAGAAGGCGGCGAAGAAGTTCGCCCTCGTCGCGGAGGCGTACGACGTGCTCAGCGACCCGAAGAAGCGGCGGCGCTACGACCAGGTCGGCCGCACGGACGCCGCGGGCAAACCCACGGGCAACAAGCAGGCGCGCGGCAACCCCTTCCACGGCTTCGGCGGGCGGCAGCAGCGGCGGCCGCCGAAGCCGAACTTCCGGAAGCCGCCGCCGCGGAGGCCGCCGCCGCCGCCGCCGCCGCAAAAGCCCAAGGTGCCCAAGGAGGTGGCCTACGCCCAGCGGCGCGTGCACCGCGTCGCGACGACGTCGCAGCTGCGGAAGATCGCGCTCGACTCGGATACGGGCGCGCTCCGGCGGCACCTCGTCCACGCGTTCTACGTCTCCGGCGCCTGCGAGGACCGCCTCGACCGCGAGCTGCGCTTCCCGCACCCCTTCGTGGACGCCGAGCTCTCGGACGCGTCCGGCGCGGGGCGCTGGGACGCGCACGTCGTCTTCGCGAAGACCGACCTCGACCCGAAAAGCCTCGCGCACGACGAGGCCTCGAAGCTCGCCGCGAAGCTCGGCGGCGACGCCGCGGCGAAGGACGACGACCACTGCCCGACGTTCGTCGCCGTCAAGCGCGGCGCGTCGCTGCGGGCCAAGGACGCGGAGGTCAAGGTCTTCCGGAAGCGCACGTTCAAGGCCTTCGAGACGTGGGTCTACGAGATCGTGAAGACGCGCGTGACCTTCGAGAACCGCCACCCGGCGGAGACCATGCACGTCTACTGGCACGGCGCCCTGCGCGACGGCGTGCCCTGGGGCAAGCTCGCGGCGCGCGTGCCGCCGCTCGCGAAGGTGTCCACGGAGACGTACCCGACGCACGCGTTCTCCGCGTTCCTCGCGGCCGCGCACGCGGACGCGGCGCCCGACGACGTCGACGGCAAGAGCTTCGCGCTCTGGGGCGGCGCGGCCGTCGCGACGCACGTCGTCACCGCCGAGCCCGACGCCGCCGTCGTGCTGCGCGCGCCGACGTGCGCGGACGCGCACGTGTCCTGCCGCCGCGCGGCGTGCGGCGGCGGCGGCCAGATCCGGGCGCGGTGCGCGCGGACCTGCGGCCTCTGCGCGGGCGAGCTGTAACAGTCGAAGAAGTTAGCCAGATCCGGGCGCGGTGCGCGCGGACCTGCGGCGTCTGCGCGGGCGAGCTGTAACAAGAGAAATTAACGCGCGGCTCTCTCACATGAGCGCGCAGGCGTGGCTCTTCTCGCTGGGCCCCGCGGCGACGTCCGGGTCGTCCTTCATGACCTGCATCCACATGCCCAGCGCCGCCATGCACTCCTCCTTGTTGATGCGGTTGTCGTTGTTCGTGTCGACCTGCTCGATGACGAAGTCGACCTCGTGGGGCTCCGGGTCCCGCTCGCGGAGCCGCGGCGACATCAAACCCGTGTGCCGCTTGACGACGCGCGCGCGCTTCTCCCTGAAGTAGGGCTCGTCGATGACGCCCTTGGCCATGAGGTCCTCGAGGCACTTGAACTTGTAGGCGATGCAGGCGGCCTGGGCGTAGGCCGGGTCCCCCGGCGGGAAGACCTTGACGTCGCCCAAAGCAATGGAGTGCATCAAACCCTTCAACTCGTCGCGGTCCAGGGACCCGGACTTGTCCTCGTCGAAGCGGTCGAAGAGCGTGTCGATGAACTGGGCCTCCTTGACGTAGGACAGGTTCTTGAGGACGACGCGCGCGAGCTGCTCGCGGTGCACGGGCTCGTGCTGGTCGTCCTCGAGTTTGGCCTCGCGCATGAGGCGGTCCAGCGTCTCGTCGCTGGGCGGCGCCTCGGGCTGGAGCGTCATGAGCAGCGCCGCGAGCTCCTTCTTGTCGAGGCGCCGGTCGTCGTTCTTGTCGAACTCGCGGAACCACGCGTCGAGGTGCTGGCGCTCCGCCTCCTGGCGCGCGGCCATGCGCGCCGCGAGCATGCGCTTCATCTCGCTCTTGCGCCGCCGCCGCTCCTTGCGCGCCGCGTGCGACCGCGTCAGCATGGTCAAGGCTTCGTTCGTGGTTCCAAGCTCGGGGCGGCCTCTCAGTGATCCTTGGTGATGTCCATCGGTTTTGCGAGATGCTATGCGCGGCGACGGTGCCGCTTCAACGTTGAATTCTAAAGTCGACTATGGGCGGCCCGCGGGAGACGCTCGGCGACCCGGGCCGCCACGAGCTGCTCCGGGGCCTGGAGCGGCTGGACGACCTGCAGAGCCTGGCGCGCTGCGGCCGCGCGAAGCGCGTGGACCACGCCGAGCGGCGCAAGGTCGAGGGCAACGCCGCCTTCAAATCCAAAGACTTCGACGGCGCCATCCTGGCCTACCTCGACGCCATCTGGCTGCTCCGGCCGGCGCCCGAGCCCGACGACATGCCGCTCGCGTCGGGCTGCGTGCCCCGCGGCGACCTCGCCGCCGGGCTCCTGGGCCCCAAGGGCGAGGCGGCGACCATGGGCCTCGGCGACGGCGCGCTCGACGGCCGCGCGGCGGCCCTCGTGCGGTCGCTCCACGGCAACCTCGCCAACGCCGCGCTCCGGGTCGACGACTACGCCCTGGCCCGCGCCGCGTCGGAGAAGGTCTGGTTCGCCGAGGGCTGCCCGCCGCGGGACCGGCACAAGGCGCAGCTCCGCAACGCGCGCGCGCTCATGGGCCTCGACGAGGACGCCAAGGCCTCGGGGTCCCTGGGCGTGCTCTGCACGAAGAGGGACCTCGACCCCGCCGTCCGCCGCGAGGCGAAGGCGCTGCTGCGGGAGCTGAAGCACCGCAAGGAGCTCGGCCGCGCGTCGACGTGGTCGTCGATCATGAACACGACCAAGTCCGTGCGGGAGAAGGAGAAGATCGCCAACGAGGTGAAGAACGACCCGAAGATGGCCGAGGCCCAGAAGATGATGATGAAGATGCCCGCGCCGAACAAGGTCGACATCCAGAAGCCGCAGCGGCTCAACTTCGTGTCCATGGCGAAGAAGGAGTGGACGAAGAAGACCTTCTACTACACGGCCGCGGAGGTCGCCGCGCGCAAGCAGGAGAAGTGGATCCGGCGGCTCCACCCCGAGGACGGCGACCCCTACGTCTTCGACTACGACGGCACGAAGGAGACCAAAAAGAACGCGCGCGACTCCATCCTGAAGCTCGAGCAGGACGAGAAGGAGGAGCAGGAGTACAGCTACCACGACCCCCTCTGGCACCTCGGCTACCACGCGCGGCTCCAGCTCAAGGAGATGGACAGACGGTTCAAGGCCGACGGCGGCGACGCGCAGCGCATCCAGGACGCGTACCACTACTTCAAGGCCGAGCAGATCCGCAAGGAGATGGCCCTGCTGACGCCCGAGGAGAAGGACCGCTGCGACGCCGTCGCCGCGCTCGAGGTCGAGCTCACGGACGCGGAGGTCGACGAGATCTGGGTCGAGGTCCGCGGCGACGTCGTCGCGAGGGAGACCGCGCGGTCGTTCCCGCAGGAGCGGCAGGTCGCGCTGCTCAAGGCGCAGCGGGAGGCCTTCTGGGCCTGCGAGGCCGAGGGCGCCCTCGGCGAGCGGCGCAAGCTCATCCGCTTCGAGCACATGGCGCGCGCGTTGCACCCGAACGAGAACCAGTGGGAGCCAGGGCAGGAAAAGAGAGCGAAATTCCCAACTTCAAAGGCTCCTATCTCGGCCGGTTTCTACTCGTTTTGGCTGACTTTTGGACGAGCGATCATCTCTCGGAACGGTCTCGAAGCATGGATGCTTTTTTCCGGAACGCGCGCGCGCGGAACACTCAGGTTGAAGCGACATTGAATCACTCTTTTCCTGCCCAGGCAGGAGCGGATCAACTACAAGGCGTCGGTCATGGCGACGACGGGCCGGATCAAGGAGGAGGAGATCCGCGCCTACATCAACTCGGAGATGCGCGTGCTCCTGGCGCCGGCCTTCGTCGGCACGGGCGGCCTGAGCCGCCGGCCGCCCGCGCCGCCGGACGACGGCGGCGACGACGCGCTCGCAATCGAGGACGCGGCGCCGGCGACCGCGTCGCCCCTCGCGACGGGCTTCTTCAAGCCCGCGCCGCCCGCGGCGATCAAGCCCAAGGCCAAGCCCCTCAAGCTCAAGGGCGGCTTCTTCGCCTCCGACAAGGCCCGGGCGTCGGGCGTGCTCGGCGCCGGCGAAAGGCCGCGCGACGCGGCGCCGGCCATGCCCCGCGGCTTCGGCCAGCCCCGCGCAGAGGACAAGGACAACGAGTCCGCCGTGCGCTTCGCGTCCGAGATCCAGACCATGCGCGACGCCGGCGTCGACGAGAAGGCCATCGAGGCCCGCCTCGCGACGAACTTCGAGGCCAACGCGAGCCCCCTGCAGAAGAAGGCCGCCGAGTACGGCAAGAAGCTCGCGGACCAGGGCCACACCGAGGACTACGTCCGCGAGAAGATGTTCGCCTACATCGCCAACGTCCAGCGCCTCGAGGACTTCGAGGCCCTCGAGGCCGACGATTAAGGGCGGTTACAACCTCAAGACCGGTACGCGGCCTCGACCACCGTTCACGATGGCCTGCCTCGTGGCGCCGTCCGTCGTCGACGAGGCCAAGGGCCTCGCGGCCCGGGGCTGCGTCGTCGAGGCCGCGGCGTCGCTGCTGGCGTCGTCGGGCTGCGACGGCGGCGCCACGGACGCGTCGGGCCTCCTGAGCACCCTGCTCGCGCGCTGCCGCGCCGAGCCCTACGCCTGCCTCGGGCTCGCCAAGCCCACGGACGACGCGTCCGTCAAGGCGGCCTACCGCGAGCGGGCGCTCGCCTACCACCCGGACAAGAACGACTACGACTCGACGGCCCTCTTCCAGTCCCTCGGCGAGGCGAACGATAAACTCAAGACCGCGACGGCGCGCAAGGACTGGGAGGCGGAGCGCCGCGAGGCCCGCGAGGCGAAGCGCGGCGACGCCGCCGCGCCCGCGAAGGAGCCCTCGCCGCCGAAGCCAAACGACGAGAAGACGCAGTGGAAGGCCATGGTCGCGTCGACGATCGACGGCTTCGTCGCCGAGGACGCCGGGCGGCGGCGCGCCGTCGAGAACGCGGACCGCGCGGAGCGGCACCGGCGCGCGTCCAACGCCGCGGCGACGAAGCGCCGCGTCGACGCGGACCTCGCGGCGCAGAAGAAGAACCGGGACAGCCACCGCGCGTGGCTCCGGGGCCAGCGCGAGGCGCGCGAAAAGTCCTTCTCGTTGGCCGCGGACAAGTACCGCGCGCTCGGCGGCGGCCGGCCGCCGGCGAAGGCCTCGCCCCGCGACGACGCCAAGGCCTCGCCCCGCGACGGCGCGAAGGCCTCGCCCCGCGACGACGCCGCGGACCCGCGGCGGCCGCGGCCTCTCGTCGAGCTCGTCGTCGCGGCCTTTGCGCGCGCGCCGCTGGGCCTGACCCTCGAGCGCCAGGTCGCCCCCGACGGCGACGAGCAGACCGTCGTCCTCGCCTGCGTCGACGACGGCGGCGGGCCGGGCGCCGCGGAGCGACTCGGGGTGCGGCCCGGCGACGTCCTCGTCGCCGTCAACGACGCGGACGCGCGCGGCTACTCCTTCAAGAAGGCGACGGCCATGATCGGCGGCGCGCCCTGGCCCCGCGTGCTCAAATTCCAGCGCCGGCGCAAGCGCGCGCCGACCGCGGCGCGCGCCGCCGACGACGTGTAAACGCGGCCGGTTTAGTCCGGGCCCGGGAAGACGACGTCGCCGCGGAGGAGCCGCTTCGGCGACCGCGTCTCGCGCGCGCGGTGCGGCACGACGTGCGGGAAGACGAAGACGCGGCCCCGGCGCGGCGCGCAGGCGGCGACGCCGTCGCCGTCGTGGTGGTCGCGCAGGAGCACGGTCTCGCCGCCGTCCGTGTCCGTGAGGTAGAGGCAGACCGTGTGCGTCGACTTGCCGCCGCCCGGCGCGGCGCGCGCGAGGTCGACGTGCGGCGCGAGCGCGCCGCCGAGGGCGTAGTCGAGGAAGCGCAGCTGCGGCAGGCACACGCCGCCGACCGCGCGGCCCACGGCCGCCGCGCACCAGCCGTCGACGTCGACGAAGCCGCGCCGCGCGTTGTGCGCCTTGCACTTGCCCGACACCGGCAGCGCGTCGAAGAGCGCGTCGAGCGCGTCGAGCTCCGCCGGGGCGAAGCCGCCGTCGACGTAAAAGGCGCCGGGGAGGAGCGCCGTCCGCGCCGCGGGCGCCGCGGGCGCCGCGGCGCCGCGGGGCCGGCACGCCGCGACGGCCGTCGTCGCCTCCGCGGCGCCCCAGCGCCGGAGCTCCGCGACGACGCGGTCGCGGCCGCGCCACCGCGCGCGGACGAGGGGCGCGAGGCCGTCGTCGTCGGCCTCGTCCGCGTCCGCGCCCGTCCGCAGCGCCCGCCGGACCGCGTTCGCGTCGCCGCGGTCGACGGCCGCGGCGAGCTCGCGGCGCGCGTAGGCCCGGTCCCGCGGCGCGAGCGCCGCCGCGCGGCGGCGCGCCGCGGCGGCGCAAAAGTCGGCGTCGGCCGTCCGCGCGCCGACGAGGGGCGCCGCGCCCCGCTCGCCGCCGCAGTTGCGACACGCGGCGCGCCGTGCGAAGTTGCCGTACGCGCAGAAGCCGCAGCGCCAGTTGCGCGCGTCGTCTTCCGCGGTTTCGACCTTGGCGCTCTTCGCCGGCGGCGACGACGACGAGGAGTCCGAGGAGGCATCGTCTTCCGCGGTTTCGACCTTGGCGCTCTTCGCCGGCGGCGACGACGACGAGGAGTCCGAGGAGGCATCGTCTTCCGCGGTTTCGACCTTGGCGCTCTTCGCCGGCGGCGACGACGACGAGGAGTCCGAGGAGGCACGCGACGACGACCCGTCGGATGCGCCGTCGTCGGGCGGCGGCGCGCCCGCGCGGCCGCGAGGCGCGGCGCCTCCCGGCCCGAGCGCGCGCGGCCGGAAGGGCGCCTTCGTCGGGCGCGTCGCGTCCCGCACCTCCAGCCCGCAGCAGACGATGGCGTCCGCGCGGCGCTCCAAAACGCCGCGCCAGAGGCAGACGGCGCAGCGCGCGCAGCCGCAGGGCAGCTTCGCGACCGCTAGGCGGCCGCCGCAGTCGCCGCAGGTGGCGCCCGCGCCCGCGCAGACCGCGAGGGCCCAGGTCCGCAGGAGCGGGTACTGGGCGCCGCCGGGCAGGCCCTGGACGTGCGCGGCGACGCCGGTGACGCCGGCGCAGGGCTCCGCGCGCGCGCGGAGCAGCGAGTGGACGATGGGGTCGCGGCCGCGCCACGCGGCGTAGAGGAGGAGCGACCGCTCGTCGAGCCAGGGCGGGTCCGCGTGCGGCGGGAGCGGCACCGCGAGGTCGAAGGCCGCGAGCTTGCGCACGCCGAAGGGGCTCTGGACGTTGGCGTCGATGGCGTCGCTCCAGGCCGCGAGGCGGGCGTCGGGCGGCGGCCGCCGCTCGACCAGGCCCTCGCGCACCTCGTAGAGCGCCGTCGCGCGCGCCGCGGAGCGCTTCGACGCGCGCATCGGCGGGCCCATCGCTCCGTCGCAGCGGTGTCGTTGCACTTAACTCGTACGATCAGCCGCCAGTGCTTGGCTTAATGCCAGTCCATGCTCTCTGCCACAGCTCGCTGAATAGTGCATCATTGAATATATCCCGAACAAAATTTTGAACGCTCGAGTTGGTGTGCGCGAACGCGAACTGAGAACGCAAATTCCCGTCGCGTTCGTGCTGCCGCCGCTGCACCACCGAGGCGGTAGCCCTCGCGTCGAAGCAGCCCTCTGCACCAAAGGAAGCGGCCCTCGAAACGGGCAGCGGGACGCAGCCCCCGCGCCGAGACGCAGCCCCGCGCCGGGACGCGGCCCCCGCGCGGAGAAACTTGCGGCGCATGACCCACCTGCTGCGGCGGCCCGTGGCGACCTACGCCTTCGACGACCTGCGGGTCCTCGCGGGGCCGTCGGCGGCGGACGACGTCGACATGCTGCGCCGCGACGTGCACCTCCGGCGGACAGCGGCGGAGCTCTTCAAGCTGCTCGACGTGTCCGGCGACGCGCTGCGCCAGCGCGACGCGAAGAAGGGCGCGGCGAGCCCGACGTCGGTCCAGGACACGCCGTCGCCGAGCCCGTCGCCGGAGCTCGACGGCGCCTCGCCCGGGGGCCTCCCCGCGAGCTCGCCCGCGAGCCCGCGGTCGCCCGCGAAGAAGAAGAAGCGGCGGCCCGCGGCGGCGTCGCGCGCGGAGCGCGCGCTCGCGCTCCTGCCGACGGCGCGCTCCGAGTACGCCGCGTCGCTCTCCGACTTCGCCGAGAAGCGCGGCTTCGACTACCGCTACGTGCCCCTCAGGGCAGGACAAGGGTGATTCAACGTCGCTTCAACGTGAGTGTTCCGCGCGCGCGCGTTCCGGAAAAAGCATCCACGCTTCGAGGCCGTTCCGAGAGATGATCGCTCGTCCAAAAATCAGCCGAAACGAGTGGAAATCGGCCGAGATAGGAGCCTTTGAAGTTGGGAATTTCGCACTCTTGTCCTGCCCAGGTGCCCCTCCTGCGGCGCGTCGCCATGTGCGCGGCGGCCAAGTGCGCGCGGTCGCCGGCCGCGCGCGACGCCCTCACGGATTTGGTGCTCAAGGAGGCGCCCCTCGCCGTCGTCAAGGCGCTCTCCGTCGCCGCCGCGCACGGCCTGAGCCCGCGGTGCTGGGCGCCCGCGCCGCCGCGGGACCGCGTGCCCCGCCTCGACGCGGACATGGACACGGACGGCCTCCGGCAGTGGTTCGTGGACCGCCACGAGCCCTGCGTGCTCGCGGGCTGGGCGCGCGGCGGCCGGCCCTTCGCGGCGGCGGCGCGGGCCTTTGGCGACGACGCCGTGCTCGCGTCGCTCGACGGCGACGCGCTCGTGCCCGCGCGGACGGCGTTCGTCGACCGGGCCGACGGGCGCCTCTTCGCGTCCGCGGCGACGTGCGCGCGGCCCCTGCGGCGCGCGCTCGAGCGGCGCGCGGCCGGCGACCTCTACGCGGCGCGGCTGCCGGTCCGGTCCGCGCTCCCCGCCGCGTCGGCGACGCTGCTGGACCCGTCGCGCGACGAGGCGCCGCCGGCCGTCTTCGGCGCCTGCTTCGGGCCGCCGCACCCCGAGGGCTGCTTCGCGTACGTCGCGCCCGCGCGCGCGGCGACGGCGCCGCACTACGACGCCATGGAGCAGCTCCTGCTCGTCGCCCGGGGCACGAAGACGCTGCGCCTGGCGTGCCCGCGCGACGCGTCGAGGCTCGACCTCGGCAACGCGCCGCTCTTCAACAAGTGCCGCCTCGACGCCGCGGGCGGGTCCGTCTTCGCGGCGCTGGACGCCGCGGCGAACCCCGTCGACGTCACGCTAAACGCGGGCGACCTCCTCTACCTGCCGGCGTTCTGGTGGCACGCGGTCCGCTCCGACGACGCGTCCACGACGCTCAACTACTGGTTCGCGCTCCACCCGGACAAGGCCGCGGACGCGTAGTTCGCGCACAAACTTTAGAGCGTCGCCCGCCGCTTCGATCGCGCGCGGATCGCGAGGCAGAGGACGCGCTTCTCGCCGTGGCCGACGGGGTTCGCCGTGTGGAGCGCGCGGCGCTCGACGACGACGGGGCCGTAGTGGAGCGACCGCCAGAGCACGACGCGGCCCCGCTTGGGCCGGACGACGAGGGGCCGCGGCGCGGCGGCGTCGAGCACCGTCTCGCCGCCGGAGAAGTCGTCGTTGAGGTAGACGAGCGCGTTGGCGACCTGGCGGCCGTCGACGGTCAGCGACGTGTCCAGATGGATCGGCGGGCAGCGGTCGCCGGGGCGGTAGCGCACGAACTTGGCGTCGAGGTTGACGTCGTCGTCGTCGTCGCGGAGGCGCGCGACGGCGTGCGTCCGCCAGTCGAGGTCGAAGGCCGCCGCCGCGGTCCGCACGGCGGCCTCGACGGCCGCGCGGCACGCCGCGGGGGTTTCGTTTGTCGAAAGAAATGCGTAGCTCGCGCCCGCGCGCGGGTCGCAGCCCGTGCCTAAAAGCTGCGCGGTCGCGAAGGCCCGCTCGAGCTCGTCCACGACGGCCTCGGGGAGCGACGACTCGGCGAACCAGGGCTTCCCCGTCGGCGGCTGCGGCGCGCCGCTCGTCTTGCGCCGCTTGCTCTCCCGCTCTGGCTCGACGTCGGGCGGGTTTTTCACACGCTTGGGAGCGGGCTCGTCGACGTCGGCGCTGTTCTCGTTCTTCGAGCTGAGGCGCTTCCTTTTTGGCTCGTCGTCGATGTCCATGGCTGTGGCCCGCGGCGGCGGCGGTGCCACCAGACGCTGCTCTCTCGACCGCGCCCGACAACCCCCGGCCAAATCGATACGCACCTGCGCGCACGCGTCGGCGCGCCATCGGAGCGAGCGCAGGAGGAGTGCCGCGTCCTCCCGCCGGCCGCGCCTGTCTCGAAACCCGACATGGGCGTGAGCATGGCGATTGGGGAGCATCGCCGTAAGCCTGCCGGGCCGCGTGTCGACTCCGCCGCGGCAGCACGGCAACGGGCGCTGCCAACCGAAACCAAGGCGCTCTGCACGTACTCCTCCCGCTGCCTCGATGCATGGAACTGGCGGCGCGCCGGCGCCCAACGCCAACCTTGTGACCATACCCCGCCACTTGTAAAAGTCAAAATGAAGCCTCCTTGACCTCGTGTGTTGATCACTCTGATGTGGCCACTTCGTCATTCCGGCTTCTCTCAGGCAGCTCCGTGTTGCCAACACACCACCTCCCCGACGTCCACCAGCGTCGCCAACCACACGCAAAGCTTCCCACACACCTCCTCCGCACCATGCAGCTCAAGGCCCTCGCCCTCGCCGCCCTCGCCGCGCCCGCCGCCGCCCTCATCGCGCCGGCCGCCACCTCATCGGGCGTGTCGTCGACGCGCCTCAACGCCTACGTGCCGAGCGGCATGTCCAAGGAGGAGTGGGCCAAGATCCAGAAGAAGGAGAAGGACGCGAAGAAGGGCAAGAACTTCGGCGAGGGCGGCGCGCGCGGCTTCAAGAGCCGGTCGTTCAACTCGTTCGTCGACGCGCTCGAGAAGGGCGAGGCGACGCACCTCTTCGCCGTGGACCCCAACGACGTGCGCAGCGGCAAGGTCGCGCTCAAGGACGTGCCCTACATGCAGCGCGGCGGCTCCTGGGACAACAGCGACCTCGGCGGCAAGAAGGGCTGGATGACGACGGGCTTCGGCATGAAGGCGTTCAACGACGGCAAGGCCGACACGTCCAACGTCAAGAAGTGGACCAAGGAGGACAAGAAGTACGCCGGCGCGGAGAAGAACGTGGGCCTCTTCAGCTGGGGCTCGCCCACGGGCAAGGAGGGCGTCGCGGAGCGCGCGAAGAAGAACGGCATCTCCGCGGACCAGCAGATGTGGCGGGACTCGGGCGCGCTCGGCAAGAAGGACATCGCGAAGATGGCCAAGCGCGGCTCCCAGGCCAACATCAACGCGCCCGAGAAGAAGTTCTTCGGCCTGTTCTAGGAAAGTGTGTTCGTAAAGTGCTCGAGATCGTAGTCCGCCTCCCGCCGAGGGGCGCTCGCGCTCCGCCCGGCCGTCGCGACGCTCCCGCCCGCCGCGGCACGTCGCGGTCGCGTCTCGGGGGGTAAAAGACCCGTCCTGAGGCCGCGGCGGCCGCGAAGGTCGCGCCCTCCCTCGCGCCCGACGCGCGCCCCCCCGCGCGCGTCGCGGCACGACTCGGTCGCGTACGCGAGGTTTTAGTGCTTTCCAGCTAGGCCGCGGCGGCGAGCGGCTTCGTGCCCTTGATCATGCCGTACTCCATGAGGCCGCGCTTGAACGCGCGGTGCATGCGCTCGAGGCAGATGCCGTCGCGGAGGCACTTGTACCACATGCGGGGCCCGGCGCGGATCACGGGCCAGGGGTCGAAGACGCCGACCCAGATGGAGTGGCGCCAGGACGCGATCGTGTTCTTGTTCCAGTCGTCGGTCTCGACGTCGACCATCGCCGCGTCCTTCTTCAGCGACTTGGCGTAGTCGGGGATGGAGATGAAGTAGGGGTGGGTCCACTCGGAGTAGAGGAAGTCGAGGGCCTGCTCCTCCTCGGCGTTGAAGCTCCGCGTCGCGTTGTCGCGCTGGCACCACGTCGCTATGACCATCTTGCCCCCGGGCTTGAGCACGCGCGCCATCTCCGTGACGTACTTCTTCTTGTCGGGCATGTGCTCGCCGGACTCGCAGCCCCAGACGACGTCGAAGCTATTGTCTTCAAAGTCCATGTTGAGCGCGTCCATGACCTGGAACTTCGCGTTGGGAATGTCGCGCTCCGCGGCGAGCTTCGTCGCGCGGTCGCGCTGCTCGCCGCTCAGCGTGATGCCCGTCACGGAGGACTCCGGCAGGGTCGTCGCCATGTAGCGGCTCGTGCCGCCGATGCCGCAGCCCACGTCGAGGATCTTGACGTCCGCGCCGCCGGTCTCGGTCTTGGCCGTCGTGACGCCGCCCCAGTCCATCATGCGCTGCGTGAAGTTGTACTTGGCCTCGATGAAGTCCTTGCGCAGGTAGCCCCTGTCGAGCTCCGCGTCGGTGTAGTAGCCGAGGTGGATGTGCTCGCCCCAGTAGTGCTCGAGGATGCCCTCCTTGGTCCACGCGTCGTACTCGCGGCCGACGCTGTTGGCCGCGCGGTCGTAGGGGCGGCTCGGGCGGTCGAGGCGCTTCTTCAGCCACCGGCCGGCGACGACCGTGGCGATGGACGGCAGCGCCCACTTCAGCGCGAACTTGGCGGGGGCCGCGAGGGCGTAGCCCATCTGCGGCGCCGCCACGGCGGAGGACCGGGCGCGCGGCTTGGCCATCACGGGCAGGCGCCGCGCGGGCACGAGGGCCGACGCCGCGGCGAGCATGGCGAGGAGGACGCGCGGCATGCTCGACGGTGCGAACGGTGGCGAGAGACGAGTCTGCGTCGGTCGGTGCTACCAGGCGTCTGAGTGGACGCTCGGCTGCTTCGCTGGCGCCTCGCCGACGGTGCTTGTTGGGAGCAGCAAAGGTGCCGCCGCGCCGCCCTGTCGAAGATGGTTGGCCTGCCCAACCGTCGGCGGGGGGCAGCCGCGCTGGCGCGCGCGTTCCTCCTGCCCGCCCTCGCGGCGGCGCTGCGCACGGGCAAGGTCGTCCGCCGCACCTACGAGCCCTGGCTCTTCGCCCAGCGCTTCTGCTTCCGCGGCGGCGACTCGTCGGGCAGCGACCACAGCGGCACGTTCACGTACCGCGTCAAGTCCTACGGCCTGTGGATGCTCATCTTCACGGAGGAGAACTTCGAGAGCTTCAAGCGCATCCAGGAGGCGGACTACAGCGACATGACCCTCCAGGAGCGCTTCGACAAGGCCGAGATCGTCACGTGGGTCGGCCACAACGAGACGGAGCGCGTCACGGCCGCCGCGCCGCAGCTGCCGTCGTCGTCGAACATGACCGGCCAGGACATCGTGGTTAACACGGTCTTCTGGGAGGAGCTCTACGACCTCTACAACGCGGGCGGCAACGTCGACAGCACCGTGCCGTGGAGCGAGGCGCCGCGCGGACGCCGACCGCTTCGACCCGACTTCAATGGGCGTGTAGGCGACCGTTTCGACGCGCCCGCTTCGGTCGCGCTTCGCGAACTCGACGAGAGCCATCGATTCGTCCAAAAATCCGCCGCGTCGACGTCGACGCGAGGGGTCGAGGACCCCGGCGGTCGATGCAGGCGAGACGCGCGGCGAGATCCACTTCCGCGAGGAGAAGCCCCAGTGGTTCTACGTCGTCTTCGCGAACTACGACCGCAAGTGCAACTACCGCTGCGACGGCGACTTCGCGTGCAACCTCGAGTACGCGATCCACTGCTACGGCCGCGTCTACGTCCGCTACAACCTCAAGTTCCGGAACGGCGGGCCGGACGAGCTCGACGAGTTCTCCTACGACGAGGCGGGGCTCGTCATCTCCTACGCGCTCCTCTTCGGCGCCTACTCCCTCACGCTGGTCTTCGCCGTGGGCATGATGGGCCTGCTGCTCGCGCGGGACAAGTTCCACCAGACCGCGCGGCTCCTCTTCTGGTGCGTCGTCTTCGGCTGGGTCGCGACGTTCCTCGCGCTCCTCCACTACGGCGTCTTCGGCGGCGACGGCCGGGGTTTACCGAAGGCGCTGCGCGCGTCCAAGTTCATCTACCTCTGCGCGGACTGCGTCATGCTCCTGCTCCTCACGCTCTGCGCCAAGGGCTGGAACATCGTCCGGCGCAAGCTCGCGCTCTGGACGCGCGTCTCCGTCTGCGTCTTTTTGTGCACCTACGCGTGCGCGACCATCGCCGCGTTCACGTGGCACGTCTACGACTTCGACCCGGCCATCTCCGTCTACGTCTACGACTCGCCGCCGGGCCACCTGCTCATCGCGATGCGCTGCGCCGGCGGCGCGTGGCTGAGTTTGGACGCGCTGAGCCAGCGGGCCCACTTCAAGACCAAGGTCGGCTTCTACTGGTGGTTCTCGGTCATCGGCGGGCTCTGGACGGCGTCCGTGCCCTTCGTCGTCTTCGTCGCCGCGCTCGTGCCGGACACGGAGCGCCTCAAGGTGACGAACGCGCTCGAGCCCTGCCTCGCGCTCGCGGTCCAGGGCGCGCTCTGCTTCCTCTTCCTGCCGCTCAAGCAGTGGAACCCCCACTTCCCCTTCCACTCCAACGTCACGAACGCCGCCGCGAGCTCGCTCTCCATCAAGTGGGCGCGCGACAAGCGGCCCAAGGCATCGGACGACGACGGCCGGCCGCTCGCGTCCGTGTCCGGCGGCCGCGGCCGCGGCGTCAACGACAAGGGCCAGTACGTCATCGAGGACGGCTTCGAGGCGCTCCACGTGCAGCGCCTCAAGCACATCCACCGCGCGCTCGAGTCGCGGCTCGACGCGCTCCACGCCATCTCCCGCGACCTCAACGACGCGCTCAAGGTCGTCGACCTCGGCGACGACGAGGCGGAGCACCGCACGCGGAGCGGCCGGCCCTCGCTCCGGGGCACGGCGACGCCGACGGCGCCGCCCCGGCGGCCCGCGGCCTCCGGCGACCGCGACGAGGAGAAGCGCGAGGTCGCCTACGAGATGGTCGGCCGCCGCGACGACGACGAGCCCGGCGCCTACGGCGAGCCCGAGGCGAAGACGCCCGAGAACTTCCCGGACGCGCCGCCGCCCGAGTCGCCCTGACCGCCCTCCTCGACCGGCCGCGTAAGCCGCTCTCGAGCTCGCGGCGGCGCCGACGCGGGGCCGCGGCGGGGCGACTCGAAGGGGGAGCGCGCCGCCTCGCGGACCGCGCCGCGGCCGCCCTCGCCAGCCTCGCGCGCGCTGCGACGGTCGGTCGGCGGCCTTGCGCCGCCGCGGCGGCTCAGGCTAGCTCAGTTCGCCGAGGTACCCCGCGAACCTCCCAGGATAAGTTCACCCGACCTCCGGGGCGATAGTTCACCGACCCCCGGCCAAATCAAAATCAAATCAGCGGCTCAGCGTCGCCTTGACGCGTCTCTAAACGTAGGGGGCCCGGGAGCGTCGCCACAAGCGCTCGGGGGCACCGGCATCACCGTCTCGCGGGCGCCGGCGCGGGCTCTGCGCGCGCTCTCGCGCCGTTTTAGGGGTTGGATCGCGTCGCCCGCCCCCCTCAGAGTGCATCGCCCGGCGCGCGCCTCGGGGGGTGGTCCCGAAGGTGTTGAGCGCATCGAAGGCGCCCGAAGACGCCGTTGAGGTCGCAAAACGTGTGCGCAAAAGCCCCCTGGCACGTGCCCGCCCACGCGTACCCGCCAAAACGCGACTTACATACCTGGAGCGGCGCGCGCGCGCCTCGGAACCCCCCCCCGAAGCGACGGGCGCGCGCGCTCGCGATATCGGCGACGACGTCGAACGTCTCGAGCCGCTTCGCCGACGTCGCGCGCCCATGGCCCAGAAGCCCCGCCCTTGCAGGTAATCGTTCACTGACATCATCAACATGGGCTGGCGCAAGAACTTCTGCTACTGATCCCGACCGAGATGGGCCAGCTCAATAGGCTGGACGAACTGCGCGTTCCCCAATCGTCCCCGACGCCCGGCGCGGCGGGCGACCGCCCCTCGGCGTCGCAGGTACCTCTACGGCAACAAGATCACCGGCCCGATCCCGACCCAGCTCGGCCAGCTCACGGCGCTGACGTCCCTGCGAGTTTCCCCCGCGTCCCCAACGCCCGGCGCGCCGCGCGACAGTTCCTCGGCGTCGCAGGGCCCTCACCGGTAACAAGCTCACGGGCACGTTCCCGCTCGCCCTCTGCAACATTATGCCAAAAAATAAATGCTCCGCCAAATCCTGGCCGTGGCCCTCGAACAGCCTCTCCGCGCCGTGCGGCAGACGTGGCTGCTGCGATCTCGGGGTTGGCGCGGCGTGCCCTGCGACACCCGCGCCGACATCGGCGACATGCGCGCCCGTCCTCAAGCTTTCCAAGTCGGAATGTCCCGAGGGAAAGAAAGGCAAGAACCTGGGTGGCGCGGGCAGGGGTCTCTATTCCGTGGACGAGTGCGGAAAGGCCGCGGGTCAGCAGCAAGGGTGCGACCATATCCAGTGGAGCGAGGATAGCAACACCAACAAGTGGGGCTGGGGCTGCCTCTGCTGCGACGTCGAAAGTGGTGAATCACTCCAAGGCCGTGCCAACACTTACTACTCGCTCTACGATGTCACCTGCTACGGCAGCGGCGGCGATTCCTCCGGCAACGGCGGCAAACCTGCGTCCCTCGCGATCATCATCCCTGTCGTCATCGCGGCCGTCCTCCTCCTCGCGGCCATCCTCTTCCTCGTCCGCAAGCGCGTCGTCGCCGCGCGCCAGCACCGCCGCGAGAGCATGCCTACCGTCGCCGGCGACGACGAGGCCGAGGTCGAGGCCTGAGAACCACCAAGCAAGTCCAAGCATGCGCCCTGATGAGTATGAGAGGCTCCTCCGCCCGACGAGGCCCGCGTCGGGCCACCAGCCCGCCGCCAGGCGCCTCCACCGAAGGTCACCCCGCGCGCCACACCCCCCATCCGTCCACCCCCACTCTCCGAGCCTCGCGCCGACCGCCCGCGTCGTCGTCGCCTCCTCTTCGGAGGAGCGCGGCCGTTCGACGCGGCGCGCGAGGCGCGTCGCTCCGTTGCCTGATATCCGTCCGCCCCCCGCGCGGCCCCCAAGTGTATATATACTAGTACCTCCGCCCGCGTCCGCGCCGGGTCCTTTAAAGGGACCGGGACTTCGGAAGGCCTATGTGTGAGCAGACGCGGCGCCCCGATGGCCGCCGAGGACCGCTCGGGGGAGGAGGCGGGACGGGCGCAGGTCCGAGGACGGGGGCTCGACGTTAGTGCGCGGGTCTGCCACCCGCGGCGCCCGGGGGGGACTAGGAGGGCGGCGGCGACGTCTTCTGCGGCGGCAGCGACGACCCGCGGCGCTTCGCCGTCGGCGTCTGGGCGACCTGGGGCGTCGTGAACTCGTTGCGCACGCGGCTCCAGGGCGCGCACTGGAGGTGGCGCTCCGCCGCGGTCGGCGGCGGCCGCCGCGCGAGCGGCGGCAGCGGCAGGTGCCGCGCGAGGAACCGCGCGATGAAGCGGCGCGCGTCGACCTGGGCAGCACAAGAGTGATTCAACGTCGCTTCAACGTGAGTGTTCCGCGCGCGCGCGTTCCAAAAAAGGCATCCACGCTTCGAGACTCTTCCGAGAGAT